AGGGAAGTTGAGTGCTAGGGACAGCTCTAATTTCTAAAGTACTATATAGGATGTCACTTCTGAATTGGTAGAGCTAAAAAAGCATATCAAAGAGTTACTTGATAAAGGTTTTATTAGACCAACTAGTGTCTCACCGTGGGGATCACCACTGTTTATGAGAAAAGAGGATAGGAGCCTGAGATTGTGTATAGATTATACGCAGTTGAACAAAGTGACTATTAAGAATAAATATTCTTTGCCTAGGATTGATGACTTGCTAGATCAGCTAATGGGCTTAGCGGTGTTTTCCAAGATCGACTTAAGGTATGGATATCACTAGTTAAGAGGTAGAGCAGAAGACATCCCAAAGACGGTATTCACACCAAATATAGGCACTGCGAGTTTTTGGTAATGCCTTTCAGTTTAACGAATGCTCTAGCGGTGTTTATGGACTATATGAAATAGATCTTTAGGTTGTACTTGGACAAGTTCATTGTGGTGTTTATAGATAATATCTTGATATACTCCAAGAACGAGGAAGAATACCAATAGCATCTTTACATTGCATTTTAAATATTGAGAGATCATCAATTGTATGCTAAGTTAAGCAAGTTTGAGAGGTCACGTAGTATCTACCAAGAGAGTGGCTATTGATCCTAGCAAGGTTAATGTCGTGTTGAAATGAAAATCCCCAAAATCTGTCATAGAGGTGAGAAGTATCATGGGTTTAGTAGGGTATTACTGGGGGTTTATTAAGGGATTTTCTCAAATTGCCATGCCTCTAACTAACTTGACCAAGAAAGCCCAACTGTTTATTTGGAATGAGAAGTCTAAGGCAGCTTTCTAAGAATTGAAGGCTGATGAAGCCTTAGTCGTTATAGGCTCTCCAAAACAATCAGTTCCGAATGGAATGCACTGTAGAGGCACAATCCGAGTCGTGTTCACTTCGAGGAGCCTCACTTGTTCCTATGCAATCTTGTGACAAAATTGTGCGGAGATAAAATTTGGGGGATTTTAAAACTGAATTAAATTCCAATGCAATCAAAAGGAAGCAGAAAAATCTTTTGGTCTTTTTTTCTTTCAGTAAATTAAAACAACAGTAAAGAAAACAATCAAAATGATAATTTGTAAAGTTAATTGATAAAATGCCCCTTAGAGAATTGATTAAGCCTTCATCACTTTAAAATGTGTTAGGAGTTTACTTTAAAACCAATCTTAGCTAGTTTGGAAACCTTCCAAACTTTGGCAAACTAGTATGTTAATGAAACCTTTGACCCAAAGACTCATAACAAAACTAACCACCCTCATGAATGAACACTTGGTGAGACTGATACAATGGTAACAACAACTTAAACACAATAACCAATAATGCTAGCAAGGTACCATAATTAATCAAAACCAAACGTGGAATAAAACCAATCAAATTCACAGGACTAAATGTAGAATTTTCATTACAAAACAAATACCAAGGCATAAATTCTTAGAATCCAATCCAAAATAACAAGATAGTAACATTAAAGTTCAGCTTTAATAACAACACAGAATTTCTAACCAAGAACAACTGAAATGTTATTAAATTAACAAAAAAGATGAAGTAAAACTCCCCAAATTAAGTCCTAAGCTCAAACCCTCATCAAAACTCCTTAGGGCAAAACATTCTAGCCTTCATGACCTTAGAAGCAGCTCCTCCAAGCTCTGAAATCACAGCACCAGCCATAACAGATGAAGGTAAATGATGGATGGTGCAGAAAACTGATGGAATGAGGTGGGAAAGAGGTTAAAATTGGTGGCAATCAATAAAAGAACCCCAAGAACCCTTGAAGAACCCTAGGAGACAAAAATAGGAGTGTTTGGACGGTGAATGGCGGCTGGCTCGCGTGGTCTATTTCCCAAAATCACAATCTGAGGTTTAAAACCTGATTCTATGTCAGCATTTTTTTGTCATGACCAAACATACATTTCATCGCAACTAAATAGTCAAAACGAACTGCTACATTTAGTTGGGCCTTTTCTGGAATTGCTGTAATCTGTTGGGCCTCAACTATAATTCCCTCGAACGTAGGTCCTTTGGAGATATTTTTCGCACAACCCATGACCTGAAAATCAAATTAAGCACTTGTAACATCCAATTCAATTTTGTAAATGATGATTACTTAAAATGATGCAAATTTGACCGTTTTGCCCCTACAAAGTGCTTAATGAGAATTTAAATCCGTAATTATAGATTACTAAAATTCACATCAAAACATGCATTTTAAACCAATTAATTCCTCTAAAAACATGCAATTGGACATGAATTAATACAGTAAAACTTGGTCAAATCAACTCCCCCACACTTAGACATTTGCGCTCCTGAGCAAAATGGAAAGAGATACAAGAGTTGTGAAAAGACTGGAGTCAGGCACAAACGATAACAAGTGCTCCTCACAACCAATCAAGCATACATCAAAAACTAATAGTAACTCAACTAACCCATGGGATGAAAGCGACAAATCAAATAATAGGACTCTCTAACAAGCAAAAATAGTGAGAAAAACCATGCAAAGTGTTTAACCAAAACAATCAATCAACCAAAGGGAATGAGCATCAGAGATCACTCAAAGGATAAAAGTGTATCGCTCAACTCACCTTAATTGGGTCATTTTCTCTCAAATCCACTTGACAAAACAAACTCACGTTTGTAATGATTTTACTATCTCCACTAAGAATGCAACGATACACTAGATCAAAAGGACTTTAAGGGGTGTAATAATGAATGAAGGCTAAATGGAATGAATAAAACAAGTACCAATATCCAAAATTGATTTCTAGCTAGCTTTTTATTGATTGAAGCACAAAACTTTAATCTTCAACCTACCAAGAAAATTGCCTATTTCAAAAATTTTATTCTAAGGATCCCTTATATATATATATATATATATATTTTCCTCTCTTTCTTTTCAACATTTTGGCATTTCCAAACCCAAGAAGATAAAGTACAACATCACAGATGCAGTAATGAAAAGTGTAGTTAGGGCTTTGAATAAACAATACATGTGTTGGTACTTAAATTTGAAGAAGGCTCAAAGGGGTGAACAAGGATTAAACGAAGTAGCTTGTGTTTGGATAAAGGGTTTAAAAATGAATGCCTTTATCTTATCCAGAACACCAATGCATATGAAGCTTTGACAAAGAACCAGAACAAGTTCTAGAGAATGTAAAATCAAGTGGACAAGTCACACTAGAAAGGAATTTGGCCACAAATAACTTCCAACAAGGTTAGATCTCTCATATGCATCCATAATGCTCAATCGAATGCAAGATTAATCCCAATGCATGAATAAATTCACTAAATTTGCAAATCACAGAATGAAAACCATTTGAAAAGTTTCAACCACCCATGAATGAGTCAAGAATTGAAAGAGTTTCAATACAACTTGAAAATCTTGAAAAAAAGTTTCCTTGCAAGAGTAAGTAATCAAAGTCCAAATGTGGGTGAGTTTTAGTTAGACCTCTGCACACCATACAAAACAGCTTCTATGGAAAACCTTGCATACTTGTCGTGACTAAAACAGTCATTTGTCGCGAGCACAATGATCATAGAGCCACAGAAGTGAAACTTCGTTGCGGCTAACTTGGCACTAGTTGCGATGAATCAACAAACTGAGAGCAAAACACACAAGAAACAACACTTTATCGTGACCAAGATAACTACTCGCTGTGACCAGAATAAAGGCAGAGGCAAAAGAAGAAACAAATGAGCACAAATACTCCCCTCCCCTATACTCGAATGCTATAATGTCCTCATTGTAAAAAACAACACCACAAAAACTTGAGGCCCCACGAAACACACGAGAATGAGTGAAACATAACAGAGAGCAATTAAAGCAACAGGGAGCTTATACAAATACCATTACAACTTAAAGTCAAAGGCAACATCAAGAGCAAATCAAAGTCAAGGTTCAAAACAGTATAGAATCCAGGTAACATCCAAAATCAACCACAAGCAGAAAAAGAGATACAGCAAAAGGGAAATAATTAGGGGTAAAATGGGCTCTAGTCCTTGTCATCTGCCCTCCTCTCCTCTGTAAGTGCTTCCCTATTCAACAGCTGGGAGCTAGAGGGTCCAGTAGGTGGTTCAAATGGCCCTTGTAACTAGAACAACTGGTGCTGAATGCTCCTTCAAACCTAGGAGGCAAAGGAATCCCAAACTGTGTAGTCAAAGCTAGCATCATAGGATCAAAGAATTGTTGTCGCTGGGCTTCTTAAGTGAGGACATAATTCTACAAAGCCGTAATCCTCTGGTCAAAGCTATCCTGGAGTGAGGCAATTTACCGGCTGAGGCTCTCCATAGTGATACTAGACCCACCGGTTCCCTCAGCCTCTTCTGCAGTGTCAGCAAGGTCGTCTTCAGCAACTCTCTTGCCCTTTTTTTGGCAACGCACCTCTGCAGCCCGCTTATTGGAGGGCTTGTAGCATTTAGTTTGGATTCCCTCAAATAAATTGTGATCATCCTCCACCGGCATTCTCATTTTAATACAAAGCTCAGAGATCAACTGGGGGAACACTAGATTGGCTTTGGTGGAGCGAGCACACTGCAGAATAGACTCCAAAACAATCAGAGGAATGTCAACTGGTTCCCCTGCCATTAGCAAATACAAGAGCAGGGCACCTTCCTTGGTGGTGTCACAGATGTGGGCGTTGGGCATAATGTTATAACACCAAAAGTTAAGCCAGATTCGAGCTTCGTCATTTATAACCTTCCTTTCCAAGTAGAACTAGTCTTTGCCCCTTTTAACCCAATTGCCACCCTCTACACATAGTGTACTGATGACGTCGTCCCAGTCCACATCTTTCAGATTCTTCCTGTAATGCTGGAATTTTGCACTCCTTCACCATCAGCAACTTATAATGCCATTGAATAGCTTCTTTTGTTAACTGTATACCCATTCGGTGCAGCCTGATCATCGGTTTATCCTCAACCCTTGTGGTAGTGTAAAACTCCCTAACCAAGTACTCATTGCCAGGCTCTCTCTTTTTCATCATTTCTCTAAAACCCCTTTTAATGGCACACATTCATCAGAATTCGGGAATTCCCTTTCTAGCAGCAGGTTCCGAGAATAAATAATGGTTTGGGCTTGCTCTTTGGTTTCAGTTGGGGCATTATTAGGAGACATCTGCAAAAGTAAAACAGCACACACAAGACACAAACACACATGAACAAAACACATAAAAGCAACTTCCTAAACTACTAAGAAGGAAAAAGAAACTATGCTAGATAAATCCTGAGACACTGTACTCCTCTTCTCAACTAAAGCTGAACAAGCTGAACTGGTTTGAAGAAAGGTTCAAAAGAATTAAAAGAAATCGATTGCAAGTGTAGTTCAAAAATAGTCAGAGAAATCCGGAACAGAAAGGTTTCAGCCTATTCGTTGTGACCAAACAGGAACCTTGGTCACAACGAATATACATAATGGTTCCTGTTCTAGCTTCTGTAAAAACAGCTGGTCATGATGAAGAAACATATGTTGCCGTGATGCAATATGACAAAAGTTCACGAAAACCAGGGTTTACGCAGAGAAACCAAAAAATCCAACAATACCAAGCACAAAACTTACAAACCAGTTCAATTTATCAACAAAACACAGCCCAACAACAGTGTATACATCATAAATACCATTCTAACCACTCTACCTAACACAAAGCATCAATGAAACCTGAACACCCTTCCTTTAAAAACTAAAAAAATGAATAATAGAAGGAACATGGAGGGAGAGACCGTAATCACCTTTAACATATAGGGAAAGGAGTGGAGCAAGTAGGTTGGAGTGAGGTGACGGCCTTAGGGAAGTGCACAAACGATTGCTGGTAGAATTGAGTGAAGTAGAGCAGGTTGAGGCAGAGGAAGACTGGGTTGGCAAACTGGATGGTTTCTGATGAGGGAAACTATAGAAATTGGGTTTTGGGGGTGAAAGGACTAAAAGACCTAGGGTTTTTGGAGGCCCAAAGGAATGTGGATGCTTTTGGGGGAAGATTCAAAGGGCAAATGGGGAATTTCATTGAATAAATAAGGGCAAAACAGAGAAAATACGAGTCTAAAATTTCTAAAAATAAAGCTTTTTTGTCACGACCAAACAGAATTTTAGTTGCGATTAAAAATTGTTCAGAGGCTTTCGGGAAGTCAAGAAAGGCAGAGTTGGTCGCGACAAACTAGGTGCTAGTCACGACAAATAACATAGACCGAGAGCAACCTTAGGAAACCACTAACAACCCTTCTGGCTAACAAACACTGAATTCTAAGCCCCTATACCAAACCAGTGACCCAATACCCTTAGCAAAACAAGCCCCAGTAACAAAAACCTCTAAACTAAAACAGGACTACCCCCAAAACAGCATCATGCAGCAATCATCAACTAGAAAAACAGCATACAGCACCACTCAAGCCAGAACTTGCAGCAAAACAAGGGAGGAATAGAGTAAAGGAAATACACCAGCAAAAAAAAAAACAACAAAGAACAAACAAGACAAACTATAAAAGCAAAGAATATCTACACTACTAGAGAGTTTCCTCCCTCACACAAATCCAACAATCTAAGCAACAATTGATATCACGAGCCATCTTAAAATGATAAAAGATAAAGAGAGTAAAGAAACAACCTGAGGTTATGTTTCTACAGGCTTGCCACAGAAAAGCTTGAGGAGATGTCCATTAGCTAGATGTGTAGTGCCATCCTTTTTATCCTTGAGCTCAAATGCTCCATAGCCAAGGACCTTTGTTATGGTGTAAGGTCCGTCCCATCTCTCCTTCAGCTTCTCGTCTCTAAATTTGAACTGGGCTATGAATTTAAGGACCCTGTCACCAAGCTTGAAACTCTTCCTCAAGATACTACTATCGTGAATGGCCCTGCAATTTTCCTTGTACATCCGAGAGTTGTCATAGGCCTCTGGTCTCATTTCATCTATCTCTTGAGGCTGAAATAGCCTTTCCTTGCCAGCTTTGTCTATTTCCTTCTTGCATGTCAAAACAGCCCAATAAGCTTTATGTTCCAATTCCATTAGTAAGTGGCATGATTTTCTATAGACAAAGTAGTATGGAGACATCCCTAGAGGGTTTTTGAATGCTGTTCGGTATGCCCACAGCGCATCATTGAGCTTCAAACTCTAATATTTTCTCGAAGGCTTTGCCATCTTCTCTAAGATCCACTTGATTTCTTGGTTAGATACCTCTGCTTATTTGTCTGAGGGTGATAGGCAGTAGAGGTTTGTGTGTGACCCCATATCTAACAAGTAGGCTACTAAGAAGCCTATTACAGAAATGGGTTCCTTGATCACTCACTAAAGCCCTGAGAACCCTAAGTCGACTAAAAATGTTAGACTTCACAAGCTCAACTACGGTTTTGGCATCATCTTTTTAGGTGGGAATGGCCTCTATCCATTTGGAAAGATAATTAGCTACTAGAAGGATATAATTGAAGCCATTGGAAGGAGAGAAGGGGCTCATAAAATTGATACCCCAAACATCAAACATTTCACAGAATAACATGGGCTTTTAAGGCATCTCATGCCTCCATCTCACTCCCCCAAATTTTTGGCATGTCTCATAAGATTTACAGAGTCCATAGCAGTCTTTAAATAAAGAAGGCCAGTAAAACTCACTCTTTAAAATTTTCCAAGCTGTCCTCTTCGAGCTGAAATGCCCCCCAAAAGACATGGTATGGCAAGCAGAGATAATTTGTTGTTGCTCTTCTTAGGGCATGTATTGTCTTATAATCCGGTCCCCGTATAGCCTCTATAGAAATGGTTCATCCCACACATAGTATTTGGACTCTACTTGGAGCTTCTACACATGATGAGTGGACATAGAAGGCAGGGTTGGTCCGGTCATGAGATAATTCACAAAGTGAGCATACCAAGGCCCCCAAGAGCTATGGAACATAATATCTCATCAGGAAAAGAATCAAAGATAAGGTGAGATTTATCAATTCTCCTTGTATCTAAGGGTAACTGGCTCAAATGATCGGCCACATGGTTTTCAGCTTCGGCTTGGTCCCTAATCTCAAGATCAAACTCTTGTAAAAAGAGAGCCCAACGAAGCAACTGAGGTTTTGCTTGAAAAGATACCGTGTTGCTACATGATTAGTGAACACAACAACCTTGGAATTAATCAAATAAGGTCTGAACTTATCTAGAGCAAAAAATCACGGCAAAAAGCTCTTTCTCAGTGGTTGTGTAACTGACTTGCGTAGCATCTAAGGTTTTTGATGCATAGGCGATCACCTTTGAGAGTTTATCTTCCTTTTGTCCTAACATGGCTCCAACAGTAAAATTAGAGGCATCATAAGAGATCTAAAAGTGTAAGTGCCAATTTGGAGCAACTAGGATGGTGGAGAAATTAGTTTAGCTTTCAAGGGCAATTTTACAAGTTTCATTAAATTGAAATTTGGGATCCTTTTTAAAAGGTTTGAAAGTGGTAAGGCAATTTTGCTAAAATCTTTTCTAAATCTCATATAGAACCCTGCATGCCCCAAAAAGGATCAAATTTCTTTGAGATTAGTAGCGTATGGAAGGAGAGAGATAATTTTAATTTTTGCCTTGTCTACTTCTATGCCTTTACAAGAAATCAAATGGCCCAAAACTATGCCTTCATTGACCATAAAGTGGCATTTTTCAAAATTCAATACTAGCTTCTTTTCAATGCATCTTTGTAAAACCTTTTCTCAGCTAGACAAACATGCAGCAAAAGAGTTACCATACATACTGAAGTCATCCATGAATATCTGTCACATCTAGTAATATGGTAATTAGGAATAAGAATATCCCTAAATATTTAAAGGCCAAAAATGACAAGGAGAAATAGAATAATTTTGGCGGAAAATAATTATTATAATTTTCCAAGCCAATTATGAAAAGTTTGACTAATTAAGGAAAATTGGTCAAGAATAATTATGGAAAAATAATTCTGAGTCTCAGAAAATTAAGAAAAAAATAAGGATAATGTTTTTGAGAATTATATGGGATTATAAAATTAGTTTTATGACCAATTTGCCCTTAAAGAAATTACAAAGGAATTTAAGGGCAATTTAAGCTAGTTTAAGGTCTTTATTTGGAAAATTCCAAATAAATATTTTTAAGAAGAATAAAATCCCAAGAAAATTCCTATGATATTCCAAGAAATTATAAGAGATTATGGAATTAAAATAAGACGCTCAAGTGTCCAAGATTTTTCCCAATTCCTCTGAAAAGTGGAAAAATCACTAAAGAGAAGGAAATTAGTTTTCTATTTTATTTAATTATTGGGAAATTAATTTTGAGACGAAGAGGGAAATTTGGAAAGATAAAAATGAAGAGAATAATTTATGGATCTGACAAGAAATAATTACAGAGGCCTGAGTACTGTAATTATAGAAAAAAAGTTAAACCCGGAGTAAAAGTACACTAATAAAGCAAGAAGTGGAGTCTTGCACTTTGCTTGGCCCACAAGTTGCCACTTGTTAAGCCTTTAATGGATGGTAATTAAAGCTTTCCAAGTGTCAAGCTGCCAATGGAGAGGATCTTGACTTTGAAATTAATTACATTATGATTTAAGTTAATTAAGAGAGAGGATTAAGACTAATTAGGCTCTTGACACATGGCATATCATTAATGATGGTTGGTGGGATATTTTGTGAGCATTGATGAGCTTTTCCTCCCCCATAATCAGACCTCATTTCATGCTAAAGAGAAAAGAGAGAGAGCAAGAGTGATTTTGTGAAGAGATCAAGCAAAAGCAATCATATTTGACCTTCCAACGAAGATCCAAGCTTGGTAAGTTGTCTTAAGATGTTGGTTGCTTTGTTTTATTGATTTGTATGGTTGGAAAAATTACTTCTTTTCCCTTCTTGTTGCTGGCCGAAATGGGTATAGTGTAGGGAAGGAGGTTTTGTTGTTAAACATAGTTAGAACACTATGATTTAAGATGGTTTCAAGTGGTTTAGTGTTGTTTTGAAAAGTTTTTCATGGTTGAACTTCAAGAGGTTTGGTTTGGCAAAGACCAAAACTGAACCCTAGGATGTGTTTTCCAAAGTTTTGAGGCTACCATTGTGTTCAAACTGAAAAATGGTGTAGGGTAAACCTAAAGAACAAGTGTTGGAAGCCATAGAATCAAAGTTGCAATTTTTGGGTTTTGAACCCTAATGGTTCGGCCAAGCTGAACCTGAAGGAAGGAAATTTATTTTGTTAAATCCAAGTAGATATTTGGAATCTACATGAAAAATCATGTAGGGTTGAGTCAAGAGGAAATTTTTAGGGTTTATGGAAACCAACTCTAAAAATTCAAGAACAAAAATGGAAGCTTTAAGGGGTTTAGGAGTTACTTGAGTTATGTTATTGATTTTATGAGGAATGGTTGATGATTCTTGCTGCCCTTTTTATGGATTGCCATGTTAGGGTTTGGCACTTGTGGGAGCAAGAAGGAACAACAAGAAAAACAAAAAGCATTGGATCAAGGTAGTGGGATCTAATTAGCCATTAATGTTAACTTTGCATTGTTATTTATGGCATGTATGCTTGCTATTATATGGTTGAACTATGATGTTGTGATATGGTTGCTCCTTGCATTTGTTGGCATGGCCTTGCATGTTGAGGTTGCCTATTTATAAAAAGATTAGTTCTCCTATGATAGCTAATGTTGAAATACTTTATAATGATGCATGTTAATGTTTTGGTTGATTGATCTTGCTACTGGGATTTCTTAAAATCTCATCCCCCAAATATAATCCAACATTTTAGGGCTTGAAACTCCTATGAGCAAGCTGCAAATTGGAGACTAAAGTATGGTGTCTTGCCATAAAATTCGTGGACCCTTTTTGGTTATGTATATATTATACTAACAGTGCTGTAGGAACACTGTTACTGCCCTGTTTACACAACTTTTTGATTATTCTCCCAAACGTGTTTAATCACTAATTTTGGCATGATTATAGATAACGTCCTGAGCTTCAATTTGATAGCTAATACATTAAAAATGGCCAAGTATACGAATTTTAATGATTTTTCAAAGTTGAAGGTCAGAATCTGGGAAAAAGGGTTTTTGGCAAATGGACAGTGTTGCATTTCACAAAAACCTGATGCTTTTTCATAAGGAATTGGATCATGAGATTATTTTTTCTTGAAAGAGGACTTAAAGAGCTTTAAATATAATTTTGAACCCCCCCATTTGGATTTTTGTGGAATAAGTTATGAATTTTTGACATTGGGCTAGAGAAACTGGATTTTTACCTAATGAACAGTAAAAATCCGAAATTTAGTGTTTTTAAGGTAAAAATTGAGTCCAAGACCATCCAATGTGGTCTAAAGTGGTTTTAAATGAAACCTAAGTGGATATAATAGTAAGGTGTGACAATATCTCCATGCAATCCCCTAAGAAATCATTGAAGATTGACATAATGCATCTTCAAAAAGTTCCTTAGGCATTGCAAAGTCCGAATGGCATTCTTCTGTAAGCATAAGTCCCAAAATCACAAGTGAAAGTTGTCTTCTCTTGGTCCTCCAGTGCAATAGGTACTTGAAAATAATCGAAAAAACCATCAAGGAAACAATAGTGGGATTTGCCTACTAATCTTTCTAACATTTGGTTGACAAAAGGGATGGGGAAGTGGTCTTTATGTGTAGCATCATTAAGTTTCCTATAGTCAATGCAGACAAGCCAAGCATTTTGGACTCTAGTGGGTATGAATTCATTCTTTTCATTTTTCACCACAGTCAACCCACTCTTTTAGGTACTACCTGAATAGGGCTAACCCATTTGCTATCTGAAATGGCATAAATAATTGCAGCACTTAGGAGCTTTGAGATCTCCTTCTTAACTATCTCCTTAATCAAAGGATTGACTCTTCTTTGATTTTGTTTTACTGGTTTTGCTCCTTCCTCTAAAAGGATTCTCTGAGTGTAGACAGTTGGGCAAATATCAGGTATATCGGCTAGAGTCCATCCTATGGCTTTCTTATACTTTTTCAAAACATTGAGCAACATGTCTCTTCTTCTAGGTATAGGTAGTTGGCAATTATGATTGGGAGTTGCTCATTAGATTCCAAGAAAGCATATTTAAGGTTAGGTGGTAATGGTTTAAGCTCAAGAGTAGGGGGTTGGACTAAAGAAGGAATCAATTGAGAAATATCAATGGAAGAAAGTGCAAGATTACTCCCCTCTCCCTTCTCTGCCATGGAATGAACCCCAAGGTTGACTGAGTTCACCACTGATCCCTCCATCTCTCCAGGGGTTAAATCAACTAGCTGTTGATCATTGTTAGCAATGACCTTAGAAACCATATTTGTATCACTTGAACAACAAGTTAGGGCATTATCAAATAGATACTTCAAAGTTAGAAGAAATGGTGCAAGAGATTGGTTCACAAGGTGAAGTAGGAATTTCTATGGCCCTTAAACTGAGGCCTCTTCTATGGAGCAGGTGCGAAGATGGAATAGTAACAGTGGATGGGCACTCTGGGTTTGCAATACTGTGAGGGGTTTATCACGGCAACTAGTACATTTCGTCATGACAAACTGAAGGAGTAGAGCTGACACCTCTTGTGATAGAATTGTTCCTCGCGACCAATCCCTCTTCTCGTCGCGACGAACATAGAAGACAGTAAGCTTTATCTTCAGAAATTGCAATGCTTTGCCTCTCGTTGAGATCTAAATCTCCTACAATACTAACAGAAAGCTCCTCTCTAAGAGAGTTGTCACTAATGACTGGAGGTATGGTGCTTATGCAAGATTCAGATTCGCAAGATGACAATAAAAGTAGACGTAGGGCTGGTCGTGTACAATTAACTATTGCACAGTTAAGACACGTCTCACTGCCACCACATGAACATGTAGAGGGAAAAGAATGAAGTGGAGGCTTCATCCTCATTAAGTAAGGATTTGCATGAATAAAATTTAGAAATATCAAAGATAACCTCACTTAATTCAAATTCAGAAATAGCATTATCAACAGCAACATCAATAACATTTAAACCCAAAAGAGAGTATTCCTCATATGGATGCCTCATTGCTTCATACATATTAAAAGAAACTACTTGCTCTCCCACCTCCATGGTTATAACACTGTCTTTCATTTGAATCATCATGTTCGAAGTCCTCAAGAATGGTCTACCAAGAATGAGTGTGGAAGATTCAGATTCGCAAGATGACAATAAAAGTGGACGTAGGGCTGGTCGTGTACAACTAACTATTGCACAGTTAAGACACGTCTCGCTGCCACCACATGAACATATAGAGGGAAAAGAATGAAGTGGAGGCTTCATCCTCATTAAGTAAGGACTTGCATGAATAAAATTCAGAAATATCAAAGGTAACCTCACTTAATTCAAATTCAGAAACAGCATCATCAACAGCAATATCAATAACATTTAAACCCAAAAGAGAGTAATCCTCGTATGGATGCCTCATTGCCTCTTACATATTGAAAGAAACTACTTGCTCTCCCACCTCCATGGTTATAACACCGTCTTTCATTTGAATCATCATGTTCGAAGTCCTCAAGAATGGTCTACCAAGAATGAGTGTGGATTTATGAGACAACTCATTAGCCATGTCAAGCACATAAAAGTCAGCAAGAAAAAGCAAACCCTTGACCTGAACTAGGATATCCTCTAGAATCCCCTCAGGTTTCCTAGTTGTTCTATTGGCCAATTGGAGTGTAACAGTAGTGGTCTGTAAGATACCGACTCCTAAAGCTCTATACATCGACAATGGCATAACATTTATAGCCGCCCCTAGATCAAGTAAGGCTCCTACTACGGCAACTTTTCCTACAGTGCAGGGAATAGTGAAAGCACCGGGATCTTGGCATTTGACTAGGATTTAGGGTTTGAACAAAGCTGAAACATTTGGGCTAACTTGAACTAACTCATTGGGTTTAAACCTTCTCTTATTAGTGCAAAGTTCTTTTAGGTATTTAGCAAAAGGTGGGGAATTCTTAATCAAATCAATGAAAGGTAAATCCACTTCAAGCTCACTAAAGAAATCCATAACCTCTTTCAAAGTTTTAGATGCTACAACCCTTTTAGACATAAGATATGAATTGGGAAAAGGAAGTTCTTTACAGTTTACCCCCTTACCATCATGCATTAAGGCTCCCTCTTTACCCACTTCTCCTTTTTTTGTAGCATCTTTTATTTGATTTTTCAGCACTTCCTTGGGTTGCTCCTCATGGCATTCATTTGTGTCACCAACCTCTTGGTCACCTCCTTGTGGTTCCTTAGATTTCTTGAGCAATGCCTTCTCTTTAGAGCTTTCAGAAAGCTTTATGGGTGAGAGAGGTAGGCTTTCTACTTCATTATCATTGCCCTCCTTTTGAGCGAATTGAACTCACTTCCCACTCCTAAGCTCAATAGCATTAAGAGACTTGGGATTTATGATAGTGTTTGAAGGCATTATACCACTAGCTTTAGCATTTATCAATCATGGTATTGAACATTTAAGTGACAAACCCATTCAGATTCTCATGTCTAGTTTCAAGCTGTTCAATCTTTGCGTACACAGTGGCAAAGTTGTTCTCAAACTGACTTCCTATAGCCACTATCTTCCCTTCCACTTGGCTCATCTTATTATCTAGGGAAGCTATCTTACTGTCACTCTTAGACATCTAGCTAGACAAGTTCTCAATCCCTTTCAAGATAATTTGCAACTTACTGCTTCCACCACTTGGTTGTTGTGGGGGATTAATCGGAACAACAACAGTAGAGGGATTAGGTCTCTGATAGTTACTTGAGGAACCACCTTGGTAGTTATTTCCTTGGTAATTCCCAACTTGACCTTGATTGTTGCCTCCCCCCAGTTGAAGTTAAGGTAATCTTCTACCCGGGGTTGTAGGTATTAGAATATGGATCCCGTTTTTGGTATTGGTTCGGCCTCTGTTGATACATAGTAGATACATTTTCAACAAGACCGATACAATCTTCAGTTCTATGCATTGGGGAGTCACATATGCTGTAAGAAGCAGCGATCAAGGTTAAAGGCTCAGTGTGAGGTTGATTGCTCCTTAGATTTTGGATTGTGGAAGCCAATTTAGCCATGTCTTGGGCCAGTTTAACAAAAAGTGGATCCCTGTCTCCCTTGTACCCTCTAGCATCTCGGGGGCTCACATGTTGGCGATTCAAGGCAAAGGTGTGAATTAAGGCCCATGCAGCTTGTGGCTCTATCAACTCAACTAATCTATTATCTGCAGCATCTAACACCTCAGTATCATGTGGCAATAACCCATTACAGAAATACTGAACAAGGTGCTCTTCAATAATCTGGTGATTCAAGCACTTGGTAAGCATATCTTGGAATGAGCTCTAGAATTAAAAGAAAGTTTCTCCTTCATCTTGCTTAGCAGAAGATATCTCCTTCCTAGTAACAAAGATCTTCGTAGATGGGAAGTATTTGTCAAGAAAAGCTCTCCTTAGTGTAGTCCAAGATTCATATGGATTGTCCACATATAGTGGCAGATTCATATACCACTCCTTGGCTTTCACCTCTAGAGATAGGTGAAAAACTTTCCACAGCACATCTTCAATCCTCGCCCCAGCTGGCTTTATAAACAAGCATTGCATATGGAGATACTTTAAATGAATGTATGGATTTTCACCTGAAAAACCATTGAACTTAGGAAGTGAGTGTATTAATTGACCCTTAAGTTCAAAATCATTTTCAAAAATAGGCAATACACCAAGTAAAGATTCAAAATTAGCATCAGACTAAGTAAGGTCTTTAATGGTTCTCCCTCTTTATGGCCCATTAGTACTATTGAATCCTATATCCTCACTGGCTCCCTAATGTCCATTACCATTCAACCCATTGCCCCTAGTTGGTTCATTCTGCCTAATGTCATTTGGGTTCATCCTATTACCACCTGTACCTTCCATGATCGGGACTTCTACAAGTGTTTCCACTAGGTTTTCCTCCTCTTCACCAATAGGTGGGTCAGGATTATGGGGCTTAATGGTTGCTATCCTACGCTTTCTCCTCAACCTTCATAAATATCTCTCCAACTCAGGTTGATAAGGCACTAACGGTGAGTCCTTCTTCGATGAAAGTCAAGAGATGCAAAAATTCCTTGCACACAAGCAATTCAAATAAAATGGATGAATGAATGGAGTGCAAGAGTATAAGGTATGAATGAATGATGAAAGAATATAACTATACACTCAAATGAAATATAGAGTGAGTATGTATCAGCCAAGACTTAAACAAATTTTTAGCTGAAAAAGGTTTTTCGTCACAGCTAAACTTGAGTTCATCGCAACTAAAGTGTTCACTGAAGCAAACCCAGAAAAATGGAAAGTAGCTCGTCGTGGCAAAACAAGGGTTGGTCGTGACTAAAAATCTTTACAGAATCGACTTCAGAATAGGACAACAACAAAAACAGAGCACTCACAAAACAAGAGGTATTAACTGCGCCCCACAAGGATCAGAAAGTTGTAGTAACAAGCCAATAACCACATATTGATGCAAGAAATCTAAAGAACTAACAAAAGAAACACAAATGCAAAACTTGAAAAAGAAATCAAGATATTTATGATTTTTCTAAAAATTTTCTATGCAAGAGAGAAAAACACTATGCTTAACACTAAGGACTCTAAGACAACTACAATGCAGATGCAACTACTAGACAACCTCGATCACATGGTTTGGACCCAAGCTCAACACTTAAGTTGACACCAAAATTACAGGAGGAACCAAATCAATGGCTCCTCAGCAACGGCACCAATTTGATGAAGCCTTAGTCGTTATGGGCTCTCAAAAACAATTAGTTCTGGATGGGAATGTACTATAGAGGCACGATCCCGGTTGTGTCCACTTCGAGGAGCCTGACTTGTTCCTATACAATCTTAGTGACAAAACCATGCGGAGAGATAAAATTGGGGGGATTTTAAAACTGAATTAAATTTCAATGCAATCAAAAAGGAAGTAGAAAAATCTTTTGGTCTTTCTTTCAGTAAATTAAAACAACAGTAAAGAAAACAATCAAAAGGATAAGTTGTAAACTTAATTGATAAAATGCCTTTTGAAGAATTGATTAAGTCTTCATCACTTCAAAATGTGTTGGGAGTTTACCTTAAAACCAATCTTAGCTAGTTTGGAAACCTTCTAAACTTTGGTAAATTAGTATGTTAATGAAACCTTTAACCCAAAGACTCACGACAAAACTAATAACCCTCATGAATGAACACTTGGTGAGACTGATGCAATGGTAACAACAACTTGAACACAATAACCAATTATGCTAGCAAGGTACCATAATTAATCAAAACCGAACTTGGATTGAAACCAATCAAATTCACAAGACTAAATGTAGAATTCTCATTACAAAATGAATACCAAGGCATAAATTCTTAGAATCCAATCCAAAATAACAAAATAGTAACATCAAAGTTCAGCTTTAATAACAACACATAATTTCTAACCAAGAACAATTGAAATGTTATTAAAGTAATGGAAAAGATGAAGTAAAACTCCCTAAATTAAGTCCCAAGCTTAGGCCCTCATCAGAACTCCTTAGGACAAAACATTCTAGCCTCTCATGACCTCAGAAACAACTCCTCCAAGCTCTAAAATCACAACACCAGCCATAACAGATGAAGGTGGATGATGGATGATGTAGAAAACTGATGGAATGAGGTAGGAAAGAGGTGAAAATAGGTGGCAATCAATAGGGGAACCCCAAGAACCCTTGAAGAACCCTAGGAGACAAAAATGGGAGTACCTAGATGGTAAATGGTGGCTGGCTCGTGTGGTCTATTTCCCAAAATCACAATCTGAGGTTTAAAACATGATTCTGTGTCAGCGTCTTTTTCGTCATGACCAAACATACATTTCGTCATGACTAAATGGTGATAGCATACCAAGAAGTGTTCAATATGGAGGTCTTGAAGCCCAAGAAATACTCATCCAATTAGAGGCCCAACCAGCCCTCCAAAGTGCTCAAAGGATTTATAGCTTCAGAATGCTTACATGGAGGATGATATGGATTATTGCTTGGACGATGATATGGACACATGTGGAGGTTGACGTGACATATGGAAGGCCACCTCGAAAGCCACCATGGCATATGAGTCATTAGAGTGTAAACACTTGGACCTTAAGAAAGACAAGAGCGCGTTCTAAGAGCCTAAAAGGAGAGTTGACGCCAATTCCTATGTAATTAAAGGCCCAACACAATCATATGTACCTGGAGGAGTCCATTGGAGCTATAATCTTTTAAATTGAGGCCCAAATGCATTGTGTTATGGACCATAGGAGTTCCAGAACGTGATTCAATCATATTCAGGCCCAAATGGGTGCCTAAAAGGCTCATACATGCTTATGAACGTGAATAGTAATTATAAAGATCTATTTGGACGGTCCAAGAAGATTGAAGAAGCATCAAGAGTGATCTTATATGATATTAAATAGGATTCTATTTGTTTTAATTAGTTTCCTATTTTACAGTTTCCTATTTTGTATTGATTGCTTCTTGAAGGCAAAGACTTACTTATTTTGTATTGCATTAATTAGTAGAGAGTCAAATAATATCCTTCTCATTAATGAAGGGATCCTGCTAGGTGGTGTGTGATCTAGATTATTCTATCTTGACTAGCAAGTTAGAGTATTCTAGAAAGTCTTTTGATTTTCCTAATTTTGTTGTATTTTCGCATCTATTTTTGATGTATTTTATTTTGTTAGTGTCTTAGGCTCTAAAAACTTATATTGGGCTTTTAGGGCTTAGGTTATCAATTAGGATTTTCATATTAGGGTTTTCAAGAGTCTTAGCCTATAAATAATTCAGTATGTATTGTTTTTAAAGAGATGATTTTGAATAATTAATAAAATGAGAATTTTATTTCTCTTTGTGTGAGCCTTGCTTGCATCCTCGTATTCTCCTGAGAATACTCGACAGTATCAAGGGATTGATTAACCTTGTGGTGTCTTCATGGCTAGGGTTATAAGAGACAGGTTCTCTTAAGGTCCTACTTAGATCAACCATACGTCCGTTACTTGATTCTAGCCGGTCCGTACTTCCCCTCATATCAAGTGGTCAAAACGAATAGCTGCATTTAGTTGAGCTTTTTTTGGAATTCCTACAACCTATTGGGCCTTAACTGCAATTTCCTCGAACTTAGGTCCTCTGGAGATATTTTTCGCTCGACCCTTGACGTGAAAATCAAATTAAGCACTTATAATATCCAATTCAATTTCATAAATGATGATTAATTAAAATGATGCACACTTTGACCACTTTGCCCCTACAAAGTGCTTAATGAGAATTTAAATCCGCAATTATAGATTACTATAATTCACATCAAAACATGCATTTTAAACCAATTAATTCCTCTAAAAACATGCAATTGGACATGAATGAATACAGTAAAACTTGGTCAAATCAGCTAAATTGACCACGGCCCTATTGTTGACCATTCCAGATCCTAATAAATTGTATACCTTTTACACCAATGCTTCACTTGAAGGTTTATGGTGTGTCTTGTTACAGGAAGGTAGGGTGGTTACTTATGTATCTAGGTAATTGAGACCACATGAGGAGAATTATCCTACCCATGACCTAGAATTAGCTGCGATGGTTTTTGCATTGAAGATCTAGAGGCACTACTTATATAGATCATAGTTTGAAGTCTTTAATGATCAACAGTGTCACACCTTACTTATATAATACCTTAGCATTCATTTAGAACCATTCCAGACCACTTTGGATGGTCTTAAGCTTAAAAATTTCAATTTGGACGTTAATTTTCGGAAAATTACTGTTCACTGTCCAGTTTTCAGATTACAGGTCCAACTTTGAAAAATCATAACTAATTCTAGAAAAATCGTATGGAGGTGTTCCAAAATTCTACGGAAAGATCCTTCAATGCTCTTTAAGGAAAAAATATTCAACTGAACTCATCCTCACTGAAAACGTACAGTTTATTGGATTAAAATTACTATTCATTTGGTAAAATCTGGACTTTCCAGATTCTGCGCCTTAACTTCGAAAATTCATATCTCATTGTATACACATCCAAATGAGGTGATTTACCACTCATTTTGAAGTTTGGGATGTGCACTATAAGTATGCCAAATCTCGTGATTTAACTCATTCATTTAATAGGTCAAACTAAAGCTCAAAACTAACTGCTTCAGGACCTACGTTTTATCCTTTAATATCTCCTTACTTTAATTCTTTTTATTTCTTTGACATACATAGGATGGGCTTAATCTTTCTCATTCATACTCATATACTTTCATTCATGCCATAAACATCCTAAGCATATACATTGAATTGGTGGCATTCATAACATAATTTACAGCATAGGAGAATTATACATTGAATATTCATATCAATCATTTGCATTAATAATTCTCCACTTCTTCTCCTTGCTTCTCATGCCATTAGTGCCCATCATTGATTTGACCTAAATGGTTGGTTAGGGAGGGGGTGAGATTCGGGGGAATCTCAGTAGCAAACAATACCATATTAATCATGCTAGATGGATGCTCATGCACTACACGCAACTTGTTTATTCTCTTGTTAATTAGTGACATACTAGCATGCTCAAAGCTAACTTCTTGATGCATGGCCATGGAGACATAATCTACTCATCATGAATAGCAATTACAGCAACTAAAACATGTCACAACAACATGCAAATAACATGTACACGGCAACACACAAGCATACCATATCAAGCAATGACAATAGGTAAGTTCACTACCTTGCACCTCAAGCTTTCCTTTCACTTTTCCTTTGACTCCCTTGACTTTCCAACCATGTTAGCTTTTGGTCAACATCATCAAACATCCTCTTGGATGTTCCAAAGGTCCTAAACATAGTCATAATGATCATACAATCTATTAGGACCACTATATTACATAAAGTTCAAAGCTAGCTCTCTTGAACCTCAACCCTTTCTCTTAGTCTTAGGGTTTTCTTTCTAACTTTTCTAATATAAATCTTATCATTTTCCATCCTTAAGATCCATTTCTTGTCAATTAGGACAAGTTTAGATGGCCTTAGATTCAAGAAGATCAAATCTGGAAATTTTGGTTCGCGGGTACTGTTCACGCAGAAACTCTATAATTTTTTACTCAACTTTGAAAATTCATAATTAAATCTAGAAAACTCCAAATTGAGTGCTTCCAAGTCTCACTGAAATATAATTAAGTTAAATTTAAAGGAAAAATAGTTTCAGGAACCAATTCTACTCAGAACAGTACCAGAATTGTACGGAACTCGACAATCTCCCAAAAGTTCAACACTGTTTCCAGATTTCAAACCTTAACTTTGAAAAATCACCATAAATCGTACACATATCCAAATAAAGTGTTCTGCCCATGTATTTAAAGCTCATAGAGTGTACTTTAAGCATGCCAAATTTTAGAACCAGATATAAACAGTAACTAATTTGAAAAAGCCATCAAATCAGCACGTAATTCTTCCAATTTTCACATAGATCCACTTGGATCTACCATACTTTGAGGTGTTCTAGCAAGATCTAACAACCAAACTCCCTTCCCTACTCATCAACCATTTCGACCAGCCATCAAAAGGGAGAGAAGACATATTTTCAACCATAAAAGAGAAAGAAACCAAGGCAAGAACACATCTAGAGTCAAGAACTCACCTTGAACCTTGATTGTATGACCAAAGTTGATGCATTTCTCTTGGTTTTCCCTCAAAACTCTCTCTTTTTCCCTCTCTTCATGCCTTGCACGAAATTCCCATCTGATTTAGGGGAGAGATGAGCTCATTAATGTGTACAAAATATCCCACCAACCATCATTAATGTTATGCCAAGTGTCATTAGCCTACTTAATCTTAATCCTCTCTCTTAATTAACTTAAATCATAATGTAATTAAATTCCAAAGTCAAGATCCTCTCCATTGGTAGCTTGACACTTGGAAAGCTTTAATTACCATCCATTAAAGGCTTGACAAGTGGCGACTTGTGGTCCAAGTAAAGTGCAAGACTCTGATTAATACTTTATCGGTGCACTTTTACTCCGGGTTTAACTTCTTTTCTCTAATTACTGTACTCTGGCCTCTGTAATTATTTTCTATCAGATCCATAAATTCTCTTTAATTTTAGAGAGTATCTATGAATTTTCTTAGCCCATAACACTTCCTTTAAGCCTTGCATAAAATTCATTTACTAAAATATCCTTTTATCGGCAAAACCGGCTCTTTAATTTCTTAAAGCCACTCTACTGGCCTTTTGGTTGCGGGACTAATTTTATAAATTAGTACAACCTTTCAACCCTTTAACCTCATTTTTGTATACACTTTTGAGGTCTCTTGCTATTTTAAATAATTACCTCACATGGTATACTTTTTACCGGTAATAACCTCATAAATTCCGTTGAAGTTGCCTCAGGGGTATTTTCATCTTTTCTCTTCATAGAAGAGTCTTAGAATATTATTTCCCATTTTCTAGAATTTTTCTTAGAATTTTCTGTACCCTCTTCCATTTTTACCCCTGTTGGTCATAACTTTCGGAATTTACAGTTTAGTCCCTGCTTGGACTTAACTTCATTAATCCTCTCTTTGAGGTTTCTAACTTAACCTCTAGCCTGCGTCTAGTCTCTTTTCTCTCTCTCTGGGCCTTCGAGACTTTACTAGAGTCTCTAACCTTAATTATACTCGAGTCCCTGAAAACTTTTACTTTGCAGTGTAGTCCCTGAAACTGCTTTAACCTCCTTTTTCATCTTTGAGACTTCTGCTCACAGGGGTCTGGTAACCTATTTAATTTAGGCTATTTCTGAAACTTCTAGGCCTAAAAGTCTGGATGTTACAAACAGAGCCTAAAGTATTTAGTAGATCAGAAGAAACTGAATAATAGACAACACCAGTGGATGGAATTCATCAAGGACTACAACTTTGAGCTTAAGTATCATCCAGGTAAAGCTAACGTGGCTGCAAACGCTTTGAGTAGGAAAACAGTGCATATGTTTCACATGAGTTTGAAGGAACACTGTTGCTTAGAGAGATTGAGAGATCTCTAAGTGATATATGAGGCTCCAACTACTTTATAATCTATTTTGGGTGATTATCAATTCTTTCAAGACTTGAAGGCCGCACAGATGGAGGATGACCGGTTGTTGAGGATCTGAGAAGAAGTGGAGACCTATGTTGTGCCTGATTATGAAATTATTAAAGAAGGAATCCTAAGGTACAAGAAGAGGATTTATGTCCCTGATAATGATGAAATAAAAAGAATATGAGCAAATAAAAAAAATATTATAGAAGAGGCGCATCAGAGTAATTACACGATACACCCGGGGATAATCAAGATGTACCAGGACTTGAAAAAGAACTACTGGTGGCCAAAAATAAAGAGGGCTATCATGGATTTTGTATTGAAGTGTTTGACATGTCAGAAGGTCAAGATAGAACATCAAAGACCTTCAAGACTATTAAAGAATCTTGATATTCCCTAATAGAAATGGGACAGTATTTGCATAGACTTTATCACTGGTATGCCAAGAACCCCAACTGGCTATGATGCTATATGGGTAATTGTGGACAGATTGACCAAGTTAGTACACTTCCTGCCTATAAGAGTACTTACTCCTTGGAAAAATTGACAAAGTTGTATATAGATGAGATTGTTCAACTTCATGGAGTATCGGAGTATATCATTTCAGATAGGGACCTGAGGTTTACATCAAACTTCTGGCGATTATTACATGAAGCCATGGGCACTAAGCTCAAGTTTAATATTGCTTATCATCCTCAGAATGATGGATAACCGAGAGGACTATTCAGACTCTTAAAGACATGTTGAGAACCGACACTATAGAGCTAAAGGGTAGTTGGGACACTCACTTGCCATTAGCTGAGTTTGCTTATAACAACAACTATAAGTCTAGTATTCAGATGGCACCTTATGAGGCTTTTATATGGGAGGAAGTGTAGATCTCTACTTTATTAGACTGAATTAAGTGAAACAACAATTATTAGCCCAGATTTAGTAGACATCACAACCATAAAAGATTGAGCTGATCAAGCATAAGTTTTTTGATGGCCCAAAGTCAACAGAAGAGTTATGCAGATCATCGGATGAGACCTTTAGAATTTGAAGTGGGTGATCATGTATTTCTGAAGGTTTCACCTGTCACAAGTATGGCCAGATCCATCAAAGCCAAGAAAATTACACCCCAATTCATAGACCTTTTTGAGATTTTAGAGCTAATTGGACCTGTTGCATACAAGACTACGTTGTCGCCACATCTTTCTAGCTTACACGACATGGTCCATGTGTCCCAATTAAAGAAGTATCATCCAAATCTGTCTCATTTTATTAAACCCGAAGAGGTCAAGTTGCGAAATAATTTGACCTATCCAGCGGAACCAGAGCGTATTTTGGATGTTAAGGACAAACAATTAAGAAACAAGACCATCTGCCTGGTTAAGGTCTTTTGGAAGGGCATGAGTCCCAATGATACTACTTGGGAGACTGAGGAGCGGATGCGTTATGAGTGACCTTACTTATTTTCTTTATAAGCACCTTGAGTTGCTTCTGTTTTTAATTTTTGTATATGGTTGTTTAAATTTTGAGGACAAAATTCTAATTAGGCGGGGTGAGTTTAGGATTTATGAAAAAAAACATTAGTAAAAGATTTTGTAAAAATAAAATAATAATATTTTATTATTATAATAAAATAATAATACTTTATTATTTAAAAAAGACCACATTTTCCATCGAATTTGGTGGAAAAGGAGGCAACATTTATGAAGAAGAAGAAAACTGGGAATGGATGGTTGAAGGGAGAAACTAATGAAAGAAGAAAATTGGGAGAGGAACGGTTGAATGTTACAGATAAAAAGAGAGTGAGAGGAAAAGAAAGGAAGGAAGGAGGAGCAAGAGAGAAAGAGTGCGGGAGAGAGCAAGAAGTAGATCGATGATCATTGTGAGGGAGAGGGCAAGCTTTGGAGATAATTTAGGTACATAAAATTACTTCTTTTTATCAAAATTTCTTTATGAATATTTCTTATATATTTTGAGCTTTATAATGACAGTATTACTATAGTGACTAGAGAAAATTTTGAAATTTAGGTATGGAGTAATTATTAAGTTTTGATAATAAATGACCATAAGAATTTAGGGGTAAATGAGTAGTTAAAGTTGGCCAAATTTCTAAAGGTTGCTGTGAATAATAACCTGAGAATAAAATTTTTTGAAAACTTGATTTTCTAGTCTTGTGGCCAACAAATGTGGTTCCAAATGCTTCTATTTGCTGCATTATTAGGTACAAATATAACATGTCATACCTCGGGTCCTATTTATAAGGGAGAGAGAAGTTTTTTGTTCTATTTATAAGTCATATAATTAAATTTTTTGTATAAATGTACAATTCTATCCTTAAGTTATCATTATGTAGATTGCAACATCCTAATTTTCATTTCCAATTATTAGTATTGGTTAAGCTATGATTTGTGTGGGAATTAAGGGATTAGGTGTTTGATATTGATCTTGTTAAGTGTCTGGAGGATTTTAGGGTGAAGTATTAGAATGATGGCTGTGTAGCTCAATTCTATGTCATTCGCTGCAATGAATATTGTTTAACTGGGGGATGCATAGAAGGGGGCTTGAAGTCTTTGTATCGTTTATTGTAATGAACATGTGAAGCATTCAATTTTCAACCTACTAAGTCATTTGCCACAGCAGCTGAAAAACACTGAAATATAACAGCATTATAAGTTGCAAAAACATAAGAGAGTTTGAAGGTGGGGTGATTTTTCTCTGCCAAGGCTTATGGACTTTAACCTCTAGATCTATCTTTGAGCTTCCAAACTCTCAATTCTAACTTGTGCTCTCTCTTCTCTTTGATTTTTAGATTTAGGATTTTGAAAATCTAGGGTTTATGTGGGTTTTCAAAATGGCTAACCTTTTAACTGAAGTTTTTGTATCTAAATAATAGTTATATAGACTAAAGATTAAGTGTTTAAACGATTTAGTTTTGGTGGATTTTTAGTTATATAAAGTTTTGAGCTAGGTCTTGATTCTACAGTTAAGGATTTGGTTTGAATCTAATAATGTGGCGATTCAGATTGTGATTTAACACTTGGGTTATGTTTAGGAGCGGTAATATGGGTCAACTAGTGGGTTGTAGGTTGAGCCTATGTGGTACAGGTTAAAAAGGCCCGTTTGCAGGCAACTAACCTGCCAACAATTATTTACTCTTTTTTTTAAAAAAATTATTTTAAAGTATTTTTTCTTATAAAATATACAAAAAATATAATGAAATTTTTGTTTTCACTTAAATACTTGGTTGAAAGTACCAAATAAATTATATAGGCGTTTTTTCACTTTTTCAAACGGGACATAACATATATATAATAATATAATTATAATCATTAATAAAATTGAAAAAAAAATAAATACCAGCCTTCTAACTCTACTCGTTATGAAGGGAAGCAACGCCAAACATAGGCTTTGTAGGCCTCTTTTTGCGATTATTTATGAGGTTAATTATATATTGCCATCTAGGATCTTCGCATTTCTTACTTTGTTTTGATACTTTATTTGATGATGGTTATGAGTTTTGGATTATTGTATTATTAGTAGAGTGCTGTTAGAATAGTTGGAGGCTGTAAGACTTTAGCATGGGACTTATTGTGGATTCACAATGAAATTTTGTTTTAAGAAACCATTTGTGAATTGATTTGTCAAGTTTCTTGGGTAATAATACGCTGAATGAGTTTCTTCCTTCTTTCTTTTATCATAATAGTGTTTAAATTGTTTTAAAATGGCTAAATGTTTGTTTCTATGAGAAAGAGCGTTTCTGATAAATCATATTTTTCATATGCTTATAATGTATATTATAGGCTATTTTAAGGAATAGATTGAGCATTAATTGCATAAATAAATAAATAAAATGTTGATGCACCTGAGTAAAAGAATTAAACAATTGGTTTATTTTAATAGTTTTTATGAGATTCCACAATTGGATATTACTTCTGAGTTATTGTTCTAAATTCAGGGGCAGAATGGTAAAAATAAAGTGGCAGAAACACATTTCCAGTGAGGAAGGAAAGGGGAGTCCAGAGGAAAAGCAATTCCATCACTGATAGAAATTCATTTCTATCACCAATGAAAAAGAGTTCCCACCAAAAAATACTTACACTCAGTTCCGGAAATTTCAATCAAGTTGGGGGGAAATTGAAAATGGTTCAGAAATTCATTCCAAGCCAGCGAAGAAATTAGTTCCAGCAACTTGAACCCAATAACAAGATAAATAACCGCATAGGAGGAGGAAGTGGGGGAAACCGGATGATTTCATTTTCTGGCTACCTGATTGCGCAGATTGACTGATACACAGGGGATACTCCTTTGTTCATTGGTTCTCATTCATCTTTGTCTTCTCGAAATGCCTGCTTCGTCACTGATCGTAATTGCCGAATTTGATATTTTCATGGCAGAGCTACAACTTGAGTTTGAGGGAGGAGAAGTCATTGTCATGTGTAGCTAATTCTGTATATTCTTCCAAGAGCAACGCCGAATCTGAGCTACTGGATTGTAGAGGGAGTTTACATTCATCTATCTCCTTCAATTGCTTTATTAGTTGTAGAGCAATTAGAATAGAGTTCCGTAGTACTCTGTTCAGATATTGAATTGAATGTTGTGTAACCGAATGTTGTAGAGAATTTGGTAATTCATTCTTGAGTTAGAAATTAATCAGATTCTTGTTTCAATTCAGTGATTTGAACTTTGTGGTTTGATTAATTGAGTCATTCCAATGGACGTTCTGTTTGATTAAGAATGATTAGTTATCTGCACATTCAGTGATACCTAGCTCCAAATTAGATAATGCGATGAAGATGAAGCGAAACTCTTGGGAGAATTGATACTCTGATTGGTTTTTTTTTAAGTTCCAAAGCACTGTCTACGTTTTCATTTATTGTCATTTTGTTACTGCACCTGAAAATTGACAAAGACTTTTCCGTATTGATCTGAATGTTGTCCTGTCTCTACACTGTTTACAAGTAAATTGTGTTAATTTTGCTTAGAAATTCAGAGTTATTAGACCAAGTGATTCGACACCTAGGTTGCATCATTGTACTACACATCCTTTCTTTATTGTTTTTTATTGCCTATACGACTAAGGGAAAATCAGTTTCGTAAACTTTGTTATCATGAAGTATATTTTATATTAAATAAAGGTAAAGTTGAAAAGTTATTAAATTTTAAGACAAAGTTGACATATTCAAAAAAATTTTAGTTTCAACTAGATATGTTAAGAGTAAATTATGCGTAGAATAAGAGAAGTCTTTTGTTTTTTTGGGTGAAGTCCAAATAGTTAAAAGAAGGGAAAATGACCACAAAATACCATATGAATTTCAAAAAAACAAAAAAGGTACCTGAATAAACAAAATGACAAAAAAAGCATCAGGTACCAATCTGGAATTTTGATTTTTGGCTTAAAGACCGAAATGCCTTTATTATGTTTTTTTTCACAAAAAAGTTGCCCAGCCCCTCAAAACAGGTTGCAAAACCCATTGACAAAATAGTAACTTACTATGAAAGTTGTAAATCCCACTATGTGTTTTGTAAAATTCAGCATAGAATTCTATTGTCTTTTATAGAAAAGTTACCTAGCCCCTCAAAACAAGTTGCAAAACCCATTGACGAAGTAATAAATCTCACTATAAAAGTTGTAAAACTCACTATGTGTTTTGTAAAATTTGGTGTGGAATTATATTGTTTTTACAGAAAAGTTGCCTAGCCCCTTAGAACAAGTTGCAAAACCCATTGACGAAGTAATAGCTTTTACTATGAAAGTTGTAAATCCCATTATATGTTTTGTAAAATTCAGTATGGAATTGTATTGTTTTTTATAGAAAAATTGCCCAACTCCTCAAAACAAGTTGTAAAACCCATTGACGAAATAATAACTCTCACTATAAAAGTTGTAAATCCTACTGTGTTTTGTAATAATAAGGGCATTTCGGTCTTTAAGCTAAAAATCAAAATTCCATATTAGTACCTGATGCCTTTCTTTGTCATTTTGTTTGTTCGGATGTCTTCTTTGTCTTTTTGAAATTCATATGGTATTTTATGATCCTTAAAAGAATGAATTTTAAGAGATTCATTATCACTATCATGTTTTGATTTATTGGTAAAGTTGTAGCCAAAATAAAAATAGAAGTTATTTATTATCATTGACACGTCAAACCTTATAAGCGGCTGTCAATAAGAACAGGATACCTACGCAATGTTTTTCTTTTTTAAATTCGCCCACAAAATTTCTTACTTTTCAAGATACAAGGAATTATCTATAATAATGTTTGTAAAATTACAATAAGATATGATGATTCAATTGGTCAAATGAATCTTATTATAATGCAACATCATTAAAATTAGGCTTTCTTAGTATCAGTCAAAATAGATAAAATCTTGTTCTTTTAAATTGACTTCATTTGCTATGTTCAGATGAATGCATGATGTATCTATTATTCGGGCTTTCAATAAATCAAATAAATTTTTAAAACTTTTATCAATGATATTACAATTCAAGCTTCATTACTAATTGCTAATTTGATAATTTACCACATGATACAAACAAGTTCAATCAGTTAAACAGTTATTTATAATACTATTGTAAAATTCCCATTGGATAGGATATGGTAAAATGAATTTTAGTTTAGTAAAAAACGCCATCCAAATTAGGCCTTCTAGAAAAAGGTTAAAATATGTAAATTCTAATTCATTAGATTTTATCATACAAATTAACTTGATTCGATTATTTTCAGACTAATGAACCTATCATTTGGGCTTTCAATAATCAAATAAAATTTTAAAGCATTTATCAATACGAATTTTCTTACAATTTAATCTTCATTATTAATTTCTAATTTGATGATGCACAACATGATATGAGCAAATTTAATCAAACAAACAATTATCTAAGTAATGTTGTAAAACTATGATAAGACTAGATGATTCAATTGATGAAACAAATCTTAATATAGTGCACAACACCATCAAAATTAGGTCTTTTAAGAATTTGTTAAAATAAATAAAATCTTCTTTTAAAATTTTATTATATAAATTAACTTAATTCGATTATATTAAGATAAATGTATGTCAGTTTTTCCTACAATTTCATCTTGCTTATTCTTATACAAGTCTTAACTTGTCAATTCAATAAAGAGTAGTCCAAAATTTTGATACTAGTGATAAAACATACCTCAAAATGATTAACATGCAATGAATCAAAAATGAGTTATACCTTAAAAAGTGTACAAATTTATGTAATTTAATCAAACTACATAAAATTTTTTTCTTAAAATTTGACTGTACATGCAGATAAGTTTTGTAACCTATACATTTTATAATATGTTCTCTTGAATTTTTAAATTTGTTCAAATGACCCTTATTATTAGTTTATCATTTCACTAGTTAATATATGATGCACATCAAAAGGATTTTTTGGTCCATCTTCAAATGGCTTATTTTTACATGATTTGAGGTCCAAATAGTTATGGAAAAACTAAGCTTAAGAGCTAGGCTTTCGCTATCATGTTTTGATTATTTTTTTTACCAAAAAATCATGTTATGTCCATTTGTAAAACAATAGACAAAATAAAAAGAAGTAATTCAAATTATTGACATGCATGATGGACACGTTAGCTAATAAGAATACATGTTATTTACACAAATTTAAAATGTAATCAGATTTACTCAGATCCTCCGCCTATGAAGGCATGCACACGGAATTATCTATAATAATGTTGTAAAATTTTGATAAGACATGATGATTCACTGTAGAAATTAATTGTAAGATTTTGATAAGACATGATGATTCATTGGTCAAGTGAATTGAAATGAATGCAATTAGATGAATGTGCATACCGTTTCACTATTCAACAATTATATAAATTTTTAAAAAATTGATCAATATCGATTTTCTTACAATTTAATCTTCACCACTTATTATTAATTTTGATAATTCAACACATGATATGAGCAAATTTAAGCAAATAAACAACCAAATAAATAAATAAGACAAAAAAAAAAAAATGGCGGGATAAGTAGCTGGAGGGAAAACAAAATACAATAAATTACTATACAAAACATAAGGACATCAAAAAAGGGCAGGAACGTAGGGAAATATAAGTACACTGTTTTGTCCTCACTTGGGAGTCATCTGACTGTGAAGGTGGCTCACGCACCTCTCCGTCTCCCTCCCTCTTTGCTTTTTGGCGCTTCTCACATTGAGGAACGCCATTTAGGCATTTACTCATACGATACCCACTCAAGCACAAAGCTCTTGTGATTTTCTCTTTTCCCTCTCGAGGTGATTTTTCTCTCGTTTGATTTTTCCCTGCTACAATGAAGGGAAGCGCGAAGAAGAAGGCTGGTTCGGAGGCACCAATTGATGCTTCTAATGGTGGTACCGGTGATGCTGGCACTAATGGGGCTGCTGATTCATTGGCTCCTTTTGCGGAAAACAATGATGGCTTCGAGCAGAAAGGGGACGAAGGGGAGGAGACCCCTTTGCAAGCTTCGGAAGGAGAGGATGAAGAGGGAGAGGAAGAGGAAGATGAAGAGAAGGAGGAAGAGAAGGGGGATGGACATACGGTGGCTAGAGATGGTCAGGGTCCCAAGCTTGAAGATGACTTCTATGAAGTCGAAACAATACGTCGCAAAAGGATTCGCAAGGTATAGTGCGGCAAGTTCATTTCTTTTTCTTTCTGTTCTTGTTTCCTCTGTGGTTTCTTTTGCCTTGATTCCCTGCGAAATGGAGAGATTTTTTTGTTTGTTTGTTTGTTTCGGTTGGTTATCTTATAGAATGTATTGGAGGGGGTTTTGGTAATTTCTTTTTCTTCTTCTTCTTCCTCCTGAATATGGCTTTTCGTGTTCAAATTCATGACAAAAGTAAATTTCAAATGTTACAGGGTCAGCTTCAGTACCTTGTCAAATGGTGAGTGTTCCTCTCACACTTTTCTTGTCATTTTATTCTCATTGTTTTGCTGGAAGTGAAGGGGAGTAATAATTTCTTTCTTTTTTTCCCCTCAAAGGCGCGATTGGCCTGAGACTGCTAACACTTGGGAGCCCCTAGAAAATCTGAAGTCAGTTCCTGATGTCATCGATGCTTTTGAAAAGAGGTAAACCCTTTTTTTGTCTGAATTTTTTTTTCATGATTTTTTATGTTTATGTACGAAATGAGTGAACGTGAAAGACATGTCTTTTCAAAAGAAATTACGCAGCATTTAGAGTAGGTAGCTTATGAGTCTCAACGGCTGAAAAAGTTTTTAGCTTTGCCTTTCTGTTGTTGATTTTAATTAGAAATTAAATGGACTCAATAGCTGGACTAGTTAAATATGCTGGATTACAAATGTTTGTTGTTCTTTTGGTCTGTGAAGCTTGAAATCAGGGAAGCATAGGAAGCGCAAGCGCAAGCATGTTGTTCAACACACTCAAATCAAGAAGAGGCAACAACGCTCTGCTACTTCTTACAGTCTTAGACGTTTTGCACCTCCGGTTGCTGATAACCATCCACTATCTGCTCCTCTCGTTGATCCCAGCACTCCTGATATTCCTGCCCGTCCTCATACTGTGATCTTTGCTGATGATGGAGAAAATTATGGAAAAGTCAGTGGAACTGTCGAAAATGGGTTAGCAAATGTTTCAAAGCAAGGTGTTGAAAGGAATGAGGAACCTGATTATGACCCAAAGATTAGTGAACTTAAAGCAATTACAATCAATGGAAATGATGCAGATAAAGTTGCAGTACACTCCCAAGAAGCCAAGACTTCAACTGGCAATGGTCAAATGGGTGGTCAATGTAAGGCGGATTCTGGAGAACCAGGTCAAAGTGGCCGCTGCCGAGGAGCAAAGAGGAGAAAATCTGGTTCTGTTAAGAGGTTCAAGAATGATTCTCACTCAGGAGAGCATGTTGATGCTCTAAAGCCCTTGTCAGGTGGTGCAATGGAACATGCAGGCACAGGCACTCTTGCTTCTGCAGGGAACAATAGTCATCAGATAGTGAATGATGCTAAAACTGCTTGTAATATTATCAAGCTTATAAGGCCAGTAGGCTATCAAGCTTCTATAGCCGAGGGCAATGGACACAATATTTCGGTGACTTTTGTGGCTTTGAGGTTAGTTGTTCAACTGATACTCCATTTTTATTTAGTCATTACCTCTGATAATTTTTTCTAATTCTTTTTGGTAATTGCACCGCTGATCTTATTTGATGATATGGAATATCAGTAGAATTCTTCTCTGATTGTTTGACACCTTAGGAATGGGAAGAATGTTTCTGTTGGACGTATATTTCCTCTTACCTATAATATTCGTTGAGTTATGAGCAAAGGAAAAGATCCTTTCACTTTGAATAATTATTAATAATTAGAACTATTAAACTCTATAGCTCGTTGATGTTTAACATGTATTCTGTTTCATTTTGTTGAAGGTTAATGTTTCTTGTATTGTAACCATGGTTAATACTTACTAGAACTGCAAGGTATCTAATTCTGTTTGGGCTGTTCGTTCACTGCTTTGATAGTTCGATCAATGGTTGATCAGTTGACTATCTTATATAGTACAAACATTAATAATCTTATTAAAATGGAGCATACAGGAAGAGTGAATATCATATACGTGAATGCATTTCCAGTTTTGGTAAATTAATGAAATTTGTACAATTATTTATTATAGTTAACACACGACAACTGATCAAATCTTTAATTATTTAACGTAAAATACTTTAGTGCATTAGATATTATATTTCTTGGAGGTTAATGTGCAATTTGATGCCAAATGCTGCTTCATTTAATACAAAAAAGGATGTCCCTTGGAGTAGAAAGACATTTTGATTTCTACATTCTACAGAAAGATGTTATGACTGGAGGAGGGGTCAGTAAGGAGTTTCAAAGGAATTTAACAATTAACTGACTGATAGTTTAACAATTTGTCTCCTATCTCGTGACTTCCTACTAGCATAAATGCCTTTACCGATTGACCTATCAGTTTGTCTAAAACTGTTCGGTTGTGTAACAAACTGATTGTTTGAGTTGATGAATGAAAATTTAAACATCTGTGCTTCGCTTGAAATTGAACAGATGGTGGGTTTATTGCGTTCCTTGCGAGTTTATGTTGATGCACATTAGTAAACAGATGCTGACATCATCTTTCCGGGACTAAAATAGGATTTTCGAAAGAGCAAGCATCTTTCCATCAAGAATTTTTCATTCATGATTGCTCAGGGAAGAAAACAATCAAGTAGTTGAATTCTTTTAACATTTGAAGATATTAAGCCGTAATCAAATAACCTTTTGAATAAAATCACAATAATCCATGCATCTATTAATCAGGTTTTGGGGAACTTTGGGAACCATCATTTTTAAGTTTAGTTAGCTTAGCGTATGGGTTTTCGGGTGTAATTAGTACAATATGTTTGATTTTGGAATTTGTTGATATCTTTGTCTCCCATTTTGTGGGGAGACCTTTTCAAGGTTTTGGATGTGTGACCTTTCATTGATTTGAAGCCATTTATTGGTACGCTCCCCCTTGTTGGAATTTGTTGATCTATTTGTCTCCTTGACTTGGATTTCATTTCCCCTATTCATTCGTTCTGGTTGGAGATGGCATTTCTATCCCATTTAACCTTCTTTCTAAGGGGTGAACTGGATGAATTATGAAGCATGCTTTTTCACAATCGCCTTTTCTGGTTTATTGTCCAGGAATGATGGAGCCAAAGTGATGGTGGATAATAGATATCTCAAGTTGTACAATCCAATTCTGGTAATTAGTCATCTAGATGCAGAATGTTCTGTGGAATCTTTGCTTATTAATGTTATCCAGCTTCATAAACTCACAAAAATTTGTTTTGCTTTCATCAGGCTCTTGCCTAAATCTAATTACCCTTTTTACGTTGCAGCTGATCAATTTCTATGAGCAACACCTGCGGTACACTCCCACACCGACACCGTGATTGGGCAAGGAAGAGTGGCAAATTGACTTGTGTAGCGAAAACTTGTTGCTGTCAGTAATGTAGAATCTGTTGTAGATGCAGAAGAAAGTATAGGGTCAAAATCTCCTAGCTGGTTTATGATTTAGTAGTGTATGAACTATTTAAGTATCTCTGTTGTGTTTTAAAATACCCCATTTGAGTACATTCCGTGATGTCTATGTATTTATCATTGTGATAGTAATTTGTTTTCGGGTCATAGTCTCTTGTTGGCTGGTGATTTTGGTGTAATAGCTATTAAATTAGCTCAGTTCCATATCACGTCTTATAAATTGTCTATTTTAATGAACAATTTTAATATGAAGTCCACGGTATGGTTTGAATTTAATAGTACCATTCAAAGCCTCCGGTTTTGTTATACAACTAGAACATTTTTAAATATTTAATTCAATATTTCAAGTCCCGGCCACCCCAGATATATGATTAGTATGAATTTCTGAGAACATTATAAAACAGTGGCTTAGAAGCAACAACAAATGCTAGTAGTTACCATGAGCAAGTCTTGAAGAATAAATGAAGTTAAATTGATGTATGAACCAATTCTAACTATATCATGTTTGGGGCAGTAAATAAAGTTGATTTGTACCAAGCAATCACTAAAACAGTTCAAATAAATTCCTAGCATAAATATGTAAGAAAGAGGCGTTGGAGTCCCAATGAAACTCACCTAAATGGACTCCAAATCTCACCACTCCATTCTACACAATATATTTGCACAGAACATGCAATACAAAAACTTTTCCTTTCTACACAATATATTTGCGCGCCTCAGCCTTGAGCTTTAGGGGTTAGGTGGGCTCTTTTGTGGTGCAGATGGCTTCCGGAAAACTGAACCAAGCTGAACTACCCCTGCAGAAGACCCATCCCGTTGGTTTTCACCTGTTAGTGCTTTCTTCTTCTTCACCCTTTCTGCCCAACCAGCTAGGCCCTCTTGCACATGTTCATTAAATATTGCCGCCTTGTAATGAGTTCCCATCTACAGGGTTTGGAAATTATGAGAGTCAATGCATCACAAATTCTCAGGTGCATACAATCCATGTAATTATTACATGAACGTGTACTGGTTCCATGGAAATTCATCGAAATTGGGTTTCAAATGATGAAGTTTAATGATACCTTCTAATGACTATCTAACTTCACTTATAGTCCCTAAAAATTTGTATTGAACTCTTAAACTATCTCATTAAAACTTGTGAAAGTGGATGCTCACTTCAATTGATTTTTACATTGACAATCGAAGAGGCTATGGTTCCTGAAAATTTCATCACAATCACATAATGATCCAACGAAAACTCGTTTAGTTGTTTAATTTTATATTGACTTCTTGTATTACATAACTGAAACTTTCAGTTTCTAACGATTTCCTTACAACTAATTCTTGCTAGTACCCCAAACTCACCTGTGTAACAATGGCATAAAGGGGTAGAGTGCTGTAGCTACAAAGTACTTGAATAAAAACCCTGCAATTCCAAAAGAATAGATGAAGAAAGAGGAGGGAAAAGAATTGTATGAGCTTCGGCTCTTACTATGAAAACCGTTAAGAGGAAACAAGTGTAGCATTTACCCAATAACAAGCCTGGGGACAATGTAACCGACTTGTCCCATTATGCAGGAGTCAAAACCATAAGTAACCTAAGATATAAAGAAAATAGTGTTTAAAATTTACACTACTCTGAGTACTCCATGAAGAGAAAAATGGAAGAGAGAGAGAGGGAAAAAAAAAAGAAAACCTTCAGAAGAATCTGCTTACCAATATCCAAAAAAAGAATGCTATCTCAAAAGCATTTTGGAAAAGGGTAAAATGAATCAAGAAGAGAACAAATTTGGGCCGATGAAACCAAAAGTGATCATCTGATGGTTGGACAACTAAAGCACCTTCTACGGCTGCATGCTTCTCAGCTACTTCATGAGCTAATTGAGTAATTACATGCTCCAGCTTAGTTCCCACAGCCAGTAGAAGCTTAAAGAACGGAAACCAGCAACACAATCAATAAAGAGGAAGATGCAATGTGAACGACAAGAACATGACTTTTAAAAACAGAAACATATGGACCAATGTATGACTCATCTCTACAACAAAAAATGAGTTGGAAAAAAGACAGACGATTCCCACATAATAGTAAAAATGCATTCTCAGTAAAACTCTGCAGGCTACAGAATGTAAGCACAAGCTCATCTTCATGTTACCCATTAACCTAGAGAATGACATGTTAGATGGGGTCACAGCTTCACTTGATCCATTGCCAAAGAGATTCTCCCACTAGGAAATGATAGGTATGGAACTGATTGGTATAAGTTATTCAATCCACACCTGAACTCTGGTACAGGATCCACGAAATAATTGGCTTCGTGTTCAGCTTTTTGGGCCAGTGCCTTCACTGTGCTTGGATGAATATTATATACAAAAGAAAGACTTCAGTTTTTAAACTTTTAAAATGATACAGTGGCTTTGGAGGAGAAACAGGGAAAAGGTCTCTCTTTCAACATCAAAAGGGGGAAAGCACAAATCTAATGGATCCCTCCTAAATTAATGGTTATTTGATTATGATCTCTTATCTAAAACTCTAACCAAAGGGATCACGCGTATTATGCATAATTGATTCTTTCCTCCTAAAGCATATTTCAACCTTCGCATTTATCCACTCTTATAAAAGGACAGTGAAATTGGTGACTATTCAAAATTTACATCATCGAAGATGAGATATTTTAATATATTTGCAGAGTTGGAAACCCTTCAGACCAATTGTAAGATAAATAATTTGATTAAATATATGCACAGCCTGCACATATCAACAAGAAATAAGCAAAAAATTTCGCCAAGAAGCTTACAATGAAAGGAATGAAGGCAATCCAGAAATATGTATGCCACCCTGGATGAGAAAAGAAATCATCTTAGTTAAGAAATTGAAGTAATCCTTGCTGTCAACTAGCAAAATCAAAAGAAGCAATTCGATTGATCACTCTATGCTTGCAGGCAAACTTGCAAGATTATATCAGTCATTGTTGTTAAAAAAACCCATGGATCTAGAAGTTCATAGTGAACCATATAGCTTTTCTTCCATATTACACCAGAAGATTTTTATTGCAAACGAACATGCAGAAAGAAAGAGAACAATCAGAGCAACAGCATTCACAAACAACATCAGTGGCACACAACTGCCAACAACTAAAGGAGTCAAAAATCAAACAGCAGCCACAATAAATGCCTGTAAAAACATCCATTAATTCAAAGAGATGATGTGTCATATAGCAGGAAGCCATACGGCTTACCATTAACATTAAGCAGCAAGAAGATGATCACGAAGACCCAAAGGTACCAGCTGCAGCCATGAAAATATAAAGTGACTACACAGGTCAGAGAAGACAAAACATAAGATATTAAGGGCAATTAATTTGCTAATTATGTATGGTAACCTAAGAAAAACTATAACTGCAAAGTCATTTTAATGAAGCACTTACCTTATGCCAACCACTTTTTTGAAATCATCTTCAAGTGCACGCATCATATATTTGTGGAAGTCAAACTTTCGATTTTCATTCCAATGGGTCTAAAACAGTAAGACATGCAAAGAATTATGCTATTATTCCGGCTCTCGTTCTACTGGCTGATAATCAGTCAAGAGGATATGGAAAAGCAAATTCCATAGGAACCATACCATGATAAAACCAAGCCGTAATGTCTCGTAATCTGACTTTGTCATGGAGCCATAAAATTGCTTCAAAAAGGAATACTGAAAGGAACATACAAATTTATAAGGAATAAGTTCAGTAAACAAGGGATAATCATTCTAGCTGATGACCTAGCATCCATTAATAATGATGCTTCAACATGTCCATAGAATTAATAGGTTACATTGTCCAAACAAAGGATCAACCATTTTTTTTTAATCCCTAATGAAACTGTTAATCTGGACTAGAAAATATGACAAGCTTCCTAGTTGTAATCAAACTAAAATTAAAAATAAATAAATAGGAGACCAAATACCGAGTTTTAGTTGTTTCATCTGAGTTATAACCAGTAGTTAGGCAGATGGATAGATGAGTTTCTTGTGACTATAAAGCATAGAATAACTTACCAACCAGCTCAGCAAAACTGAATCTTTACCGAAACCCAGAAATCGACCCTTAATAAAAGCGTGCTGCTGAACATGAGTGACTGCTGGTTCTGTAACTGCACTAACTCAAAATGGAGAAAAAGAGCAATTAGGGAAGATATAACTACTTTCAATAGAATTTCTGGAACTTACATAAAAGAAATTTAACTTGCTTAAGCTTTAGATTATTTATTGTGATCCTCAAGCCAAATACTGACATATTTAAAGTGTCATTTTGTTGAATTAAAGACTATTAAATTAAAAGACTATCAAAGACTTCAGAAGCTAACAATAGTATTGGAAGCACATACACAATAAATGGTCAAATTGCTTACCTGGCTTTGTTTCATTGCTTTCTTTAGCAATTAAATTCTCCCAATGCTTCCACTGACGTATCTATATAAAGAAAGTTGGGTTATCAATAAAGAAGACTGAAGAGAACTTAAACAAGCAGAGGCATTTGTTAATAAGATTATTCGATACTTACTCTTGCACCTCCAAAAACAATAGTCAGCACACAGAATGTCAGGTGGACAACAGCTAGAACAAAAATAAATATATGTAGGTGATGCAGTGCTTCTGAAGATATTAATGGTACCTTGCCCTGAAATTTATTTCAAACAGATTACAGAATAAGATGCTATAGCATGCGGAATAAAATAAACATATTACATGAGGAAAATCACAAAAGGGATTCAATTCAATTTAACACTATCTATATTGTTTGAAACAGAGGGCAATAATATTTTGATAAAAATAACAGTCCAGTGAAATCATTTTGATAATCAGTTAAATGTGAGACTGAGGTATGACACAATCTAACAAAGGCTCAAGTAATCAATATGCAAAATTAATGGAATAGAATAATAAAAGTGTTGTAGCATAAATTCATAAGTTTTTTGCTGTGCCGGCATTTATAAGTAATGTTCTACTTGGCATATCAAATAAGAGAATGGAAGAACAAAAGGAACGTAAGAAAGTTATCTTGATCTTATCACCCCTAAAATGATTGGGGACAGAGAACAATCGCTCCTCAAAATAAATTTGAATATGACACGATGGTAATAGAGAAAAGGGAATTAAGGAAAAAACAAGCACCCCTTCAAAAATATTTCTACATCATCTCCATGTTCAAGCTGGTAAGAGAACCATGTCGTTCAAAATGCTTAAGCTTATAAGAGAAGGCCCATGGATGAGCTCACCCCCTCAGTCCATGCATAACCTGAACCCATCAGGATTGGAGCTCTGGTTACCTAAAGATCATGCTCAGTCCACGCTAATTCCCCTTCTCAATCAAAAGCGTACATCTCTCCCCATGGGTCTAAATTTGAATATATTATGAAGATTCATCACTGCTTGATTATGACATATTAAAGCTCCATTACCATGTAAAGGATAAGATGCTTAGTCATCTTAAAAGTTTAAGCAAACGAATCAATGTTTTAATACCCCTAACGAATATTTTTTGAATAGTTTTCCATGTAATTGAATCTGACTTACAAACTAATAACATCCTTCTCTAAATTTACTTTTATAATAGGTTGTCCAAATGACCTTAGTTTGACCAGACAGGGGATAAACGTTAAGAAAAGTAAGAATTTTTTTTTTTTTAAAGAGAAACATGGGACCAGAAAAGGATATATTATTCATCAGAAAACTTTCCTGTTTTATTCATCAGAATGGTTGAATTGGTCAAAATATACCTAATATTAGCATAGTATACTTCTTTGAAGCCAGAAATAATAAGCCACTATGTCCTACACTGTAGAAGACTCACAAGTATCTATTTGCCAAATAAGAAGGAAAAAAATAGCATTAAACTGAAGTCAGATTTTTCTTTAGAGCTATAAAGCATAAACACGATGATTGTGTATTCATATTTAAAATTTCACAAAACTCGGACGGCAGACAATATATACTTTCATAAATACATATGCTAGCTGTCTGTTTGTGTTATGCTGTGTTATGATATAAAAGCAAATGTAACATGCCCAAATCCAAGTTTTTTAAGATCCCATTCAATGAGCCCTTCAAAATAAACTGATATCAGATTTTTCTTCAGAGCTATAAAGCATGGACACTAATGATTGAGTATTGATGCACGACGTTTCTGATAACTCAAACAGCAGACAACATATACTTGCAGAAATGTTTGTTTGTGTCGTGTCGTGTTGTGTTATGATGTAAAGGCAAATGTATCATACCCAAATCCAAATTTTTAAAGATCCCATTCAATGAGCCCTTCATAAAAAGACACATTCGAAACCATCCTCTGTTTCAAGTACTTTCCAGAATTATTTCGAAAAATCAAAATAAAACTGATGTTAAACTATCCATTACGTCTATTCACGCAAACCAAAAATTGGATAGAATTGCTATGATCTGATTCTATCCTTTTTTTTTTTTTTTCTGTGTCCCCATTCCTTATTCCAATCTAATTCCAATGCATGTCAGGACTCAGGTGTGTACCAGAACCAAAAAGTAATTATTTTCATTCTAATACATAAAAATATGTACTGTACATATTTTTCTGTGCACTGTGGTAGCTTTTGTTTCTGACACGTGTCAAACAGTATCATGTATTTAAAAAAAATGCGTTGGCAGTTCATGATTCAGGACTCGATGTATGCAATGACAATTGACTGTTGGGTTCTTATCATAAACCAGTTAGCAGTAACAGTAGTCTAATCCTTCTCATTGGTTTTTAGAGCATAAACAGAAACAGGGCAGCTGGGTGTTCTAAGGAAAAAGCTAAAGTCACTGCAAGACTAATTATGTAAATGTAAAAAATAAATAGAGTAACTGCTGAAACATGAAAGGATTAAAATGTATTTTGTTGTATAAGGCAAATTACTGATTAATTAAAAAAAAACAGGACATCCATTATTCCAATTTCCCCATCATTTATGCAAATAAAGTTTCAGAGACCTAGATTTCAATTGTTAGAAACATGTAAAAAGAGAATCTTATTGCCTTAAACCTGCATAGCAATTTTATGACAAACAACTGTTACCAAATACTAACAATAAAACACCTAAATCACTTGATATGATCCAACAAAAATCCAAAATTGAGATGATATATAATCAACATATGATCGATGTTGTTTATATGATGGTTGAGGAACGGAGCCAACTATGTACAAGAACAAAGACTGGACAATTTTCAGTTGAACCATTTATACACATGCATACTGACATAAATGCCACTGTGAAATCTAAAAAGATCACAGTTCCAGAAGAATCTCAAGAAGAATTCATCAATAAAAATATTTACATAAAACAGATGGTCTAGATTATTGACCAACTAATTCCATTCACTACACAGCCCGTTGCCAACAAAAATCCATTGTATTGTAATATTTAAGGGAAAACGAGTATCTCATGAGTTACTCCCATCCAACAAAGTTGTTGTCATAACACGAGTCATAGCATGGAACGAAACTTGGGAAAAATATATGGACTGGATAAGTGAAAAAGTAATCAAACGCAAAATAATATAGCCGAGACTTACAAAAGGAAATGATAGGAAGAAAAAGAAGAGACAATGAGATGCCGAAAGGGAAAAAAGGAAAAAAACAAAAAACAAAGAAACCAAATTATAAAGCCAATTAGTCAAATGTCTTCATATATTGGTGCACTTTTATCGCTCCCGGTGCATTTTCAAGTCTGCAATAATGCCAAACGTCAAAAAAGCATTTTTGTTTTATTAAATTTTGTCATAAGGAATGTTAGATCCTCATTCCTAAGTTATTTGATGGCAAGACACTGAAATCTCGTCACTTGTGGAATAATAGTTCCCTTGTCTCCTTTTTATAAAACTTCGTCACAAAAGATGCTTTAGATCGTCCTTCCTAACAAAAGTGATTTGATGATTCGATACTGAAATTGTCCATACCCTTTCTGAAACGTTTCTTTCTCTCCACAAATAGGAAAACTCGTAATCGAAACCAAGTTCATATCGTCCAAAGGAGACTTTTCTGAGGAACAAACCCCTGAATCAGCTGAAATCAGATTACAATAAACTGATCGACGCTAAATCTTATTGCTTATTACCTTACGAGCGCAGTATCCAGTCGCGGACTCTGACGATGGCCCCTCAGCAAGAAGGTGCCTGAGGCCAGGAAAAGACAAGGATGTCTGAAAATGGGCAGAGCCATTTTCTGATTCTTTATGTTCCTTTTCATCAAGCCCACAAGGAAGCATATGGCGAATCAAACTCGGATGAACACAGATTTTAGTGATGCCATTTTGCGTTACCGTAAGAAGCAAAGATATAAAACCCATCAGCATCAGTTCTGATCAAACAGAGGGAGAACAAAAATTAAAATGAAATGCAACCTTCAGTTTTCAGATCAGAAATGTACGGACGTCAAACGACATTAACAATGCATGAAAGTGAAATAGGAAAAAGAAAAACCTTCTTTGATCTTCTGCAACGCTTGGAAAAGTGGCTTCTGATTCTTCTTCTTGAGGTACTTCCCCCCATAATGAAGAAAACGTTCGACGGCGAAAGAAACGGCGACGATGACAGTGCAAACGGCGGCCACTACCCATGTCGGAGTGAATTCTAAATTGTTTTCATCATCACCACCACCACCTCCACCCATTCTTCTTCTTTCTCTTCTTCACGATCTCTCTTTCTATATATCTGACCTTCGCCTATCGTCTTGCCATCAATGGACCCTCTGCTTGTGGAGACTCTGCACTGCTGTCTCTATATTTTTCGTGTTCTTCGACACAGGCACGGTTATTTTCAACATTTTCTACTCGTCATTCAACTTTTTTGGCCGACGACCCCAGGCTTTCTGATCTCTATTTGGATTTAAATTACAGGCTAATACAAACTTTAGTCTTTTAAATTTGTTTTAATTTTAGTTTTAATTTTTTAAATTTCAAATCATAGATTTTAGTTCCTCAACTTTTTTTTATTTATAATATTAGTCTCTATAATCCAATAAAAATTTGAATCATTTTACCCCTTCAAAACCAAAACTTATGATTTAAAATTGGGTTAAGGTGTACCTAGCACCCGAACTATTTTTCTAGGTGCATCCAGTGTCCTAAACTAATTTTTGGTGCACCCAATGTCCCAAACTAATTAAAACAGTGCATCCATATCTCAGGCTAATAGAAATGTTTTCTTTGACCGTTAGTCTGCTGACTCAGCATAAGTTGACTCCAATCATCCCACATGGCGCACACATTGGCATCCGACGTGTACATTATGACTCAATTCGGTTTATTTCCCTCCAATGCCTCCAATGTTTTACTCTGCCACTTCACAACCAAAAAACGGAGTGCCACCGGTCCAAAGCAAAGGAGAGAAAAGAAATTAGGGTTCAATCCTCAGCCCCATCTGTCATCGATTGATTGAGGTAATCGACGGAGGTGAGGATTGAGAGCAACAGAGGGAAAATTAGGGTTCAAAGCTTATACCCCATTTATACCCCATCTGGTTGGTGAGCGAGCCTGGAGCTTTTGATCGACTCAGAGCAGCAAAGGGAAAAAAGTGAGCGTTTAAACTTGTTCCCCATCTATCGTTGGCGAAAGTGGAGGTTTCAGGCGATTTAGAGCAAGAGAGGAAAAAAGTGAGTATTGAAACCTTCGACCCCCTCGATAGCTAGTGAAGCTGGCTTTATATTTCTATTCTGTTCTCCTTCGTCGGTGTTGTCATCATTGCTGAAACCTCCTCCTTCGTCTATTGCAGCCCCCTTCAACGTTTGGATGCTCAATGGGTGAATAAAATTTTGATTCAACGGTGACGAGCAGGAGAAGGATTGCTTTGGTTAAGCAAGTTAAAGTGGAGACGGAGTATGAAGGGCCGAAAAGGTTTTGTCACTGTGGTGTATTGGCTCCTAGATGGACAGCTTGGAGTGAGAAGAACCTTGGTAGAAGATTTTATGGATGCCGAAAATACAATCAGGTAAGTTAAGTTCACTGTCATATCGTTTGGAAATTGGTAGCCGAACCCGTTTGCCATTTTTTAGAGATATGCTATTCTGTTAAAGCTTTTCCTGGTCATGTCACTGCTAGTATTCATACTCATATCTGTTAAGTTCATATTGATTTTCCGAAAGAAATTGATTTTGGTAACTTGTTGAACCTGTCAAGGAGGAGGCTACGGTTATTTTAGCTGGCGTGATAAAGAAATGGGTCAGAGACCAATTGAAGTGATCACTGAGTTGTCACATAGATTCACTGTATGATGGGAACTTGAGGCTAAAAAGAAGACTTGAGGGTGAAGAGTTAGGAGCAGAGATGTGTAGAATATATCAAGAATTGAACAAGATGGAGAGGAGGCACGGCAAGTTTGTAGCTGCAGCTGAAAGTGGGAAAAAGAAGATGAAAATACTGCAACTTGCTTTGTTGTTGTCTTGGCTTTGTGTTTTTTATTTCCTTGTAAGGTAGTGAACCATGAAAATACTGCAGCTTGCTTTTTGATTTTGTTGGGATGTAAAGTTGTTTAAAGATGGAAGAAGCACTGAACCATGTGATATTTTTGCTCATAATCTTAAATGATATCCTATTGGCAGTAAACATTTGTGATCATGTCTTTTGAATAGAAAGCAATCATGGTTCCATGTTATGGCTGTTAATTTAACTGTTGTGATGAAAAAACAATGAAAGCCATATTCTTTAACTAACCTAGTATGAATGCAGTGATATTTTTCCCCTTTCTGAACAAATTATGCAGAGAAATACGGGCTGTCATGACTATTGAAGCAGTAGGTGATAGTAACACAGTCTAGCTTATTTGTTTGATTCATTGGCTCCATTCCATTTATACCTGACTTGTGTGGCTTCAAGTCAGAAAACTCATACCTGACAGTAACATATCAAGAATATTTGTTTTGGAATTAAGTAGATTGTGCAAGATTTGCTCTGGCTCATTTTATCAATAAGTATTTCAACTTCATCTGAAGAACCTAAACCGAAGAGCCTCTTCCATAAGGAAGAGTACCAGCTTTGGTAATAATACAAAGAAATAATACAAAATAACAATAACCTTTGTTGATGGCTTTCATTTACAAAAAAAGCAACAACTAGTTTGTCATAACATGGTCATTCCAGCAGCTTTGGTTTAATACAACAAAATGGAAGCAAAATGACAGGATATAAAAGTTATGCATAATCATTTGCATCAATGAGGAACTACTCTTCTTTTTTGAAAGAAAAATATTTACATGTACATATAGGATTAGCCTTCAAACCAAAAAAGGACACAAAAGTTGTACAAGATATCATTGTTTCTTTGCCTTTAACTCAACTATTCTTTTCGTTCATTATGCTTGAAGTTGTGAAGTAGTCTGGCTTGGTTGGCCCATCCATCTTAGACCGGGTGGCTTGAATGGGAGGTTAGTTAGGCTTGAGACTGTGGCCCCATCACCAATGAATGAAATTCTCCTCTCTTCACCATTTGAACTTTGAATATTGTACATTGGGGATAGGAAACCGTATGACAAGATCAACATCATGCTCTATATCGTCTCTAGCATTCCCTTCTTCAATGATGACTTGACCTCACATTCCAAGCTGTTATACCAATAGCCATTAATTATAAGTGACATTAATATATAATAAAACATATATACCCCAGATCGGTATAATAAATATTGATCAGTAAGTAAACAAATGCGATACAATAAATATTGATTATTATGCCAGCAAACACATGCGGTACAATAAATATTGATCATACATGTGTTATAACACGATTTGGAGTCAGCATTGCAGATATAATATGTAAAGAAAAGAACAAGCCATGGTCATTATGTCTAAGTAACTTACATTGTACACAACCCTTCCAGCTTCTACATCAAATGAAATCCCCATACCACAGTCAACTCTCTTCTTGTAGGCACTCCTCCTTTGTGGAAGTTTTTGTCTTAGTGGTTGAGAATGTGCTTCTTGACTCGGCTGATTGTGTTGACTACTACTCGCTATATCTGTTTTGGGTCTTCCTCTTTTCTTTTGTGTCGCATTTGTGCCTGTGGATGGAGGATGCTACATGAAACACATAAGAAAATTACATTAGTCACACATATTATGTGTCACGAAAATTTTTTATACAAATGTGAGAACGCAGTAAACATTACCTCCTTCCATGTGGACTTGTTGTGGCCCTCTTGCCTACATATGCTACACCTAAGATGTGGTCCAGACCTATTCAACTTCTCAATTGTTGGGGCAGGCAACACAGTATGGTCTTGTGTGGCATTTTGTTGGGCAATCCCTTTCTTTCTCCTCCTTGTTGCTTTCTCAGTTCTTCTTCTTTTGAGACTTGGTCTTCCGGGCAACTTGCACAATTGTGGGGGGTCCATATGTTGGAAATTTGTTATGTTTCACAATTTTTTCCCCCTTACAGGCTGAAACTTTCTCTCGTATGTAGCCAAGAATGTGGTCTTGTGATAGTATTGTGAGATGTGATTACTGGGTTCCATTTTCTCATGATAAATTGTGCAAATTGCATGCTGGCAAAGGATCCAGTCAACTCCCATGCTCTACAAGTGCATAATCTCCTCCTCAAAAACACAGTATGTCTATCTGAGCCCTCAGTAATTTCATACCCATCATCCTCGTTAAACACAACTTTACAACCTGCAGCTAACTTCCTATTTGTCTCATATAAATCAACACACTTTGGGCTAAACTCATTCTTCTATTGGCTAGCAACTTTCTCACTATTGGCCCATTTTTGCATCATTTTCTCTCTTATTCCTTCAAACATATGTATGATTGGAAGAAACCAATACTCATAAATCCAAGCATTCAGGCTTTCGTTACAATTATTGTCCATAATCCACGACTTACACTTGGTGGAAAAATATGTGCTCTTACCCATTGCATTGGATTATAAGACAAAATTGCTTCTGCTGCTTCTTTGCTCAACCCTTTCATTTCTTTCAAGTTATCCACATACTGCTCTTCATATGTACTTCACGTACAAGAGAAGAATTTCTTTTGCAGTTCACGTCTCCTCCAACATTTGGACCAATTAGCATAAATATGTCTGGCATATAGCCTGTGCTCAGACTTGGGCAATATCTCTTGTACGGCTAAGTGTAACCCCTGCATGGCATTAAACATTAATTATAAGTGAATGGATTTAAGTAATAAAAAAGTAAAGCAACAAAAGTAACAATTAATTTGTCTAAAGAAAGTCAACAAAGCAACACGGTTGAGCTAAGTGTGTACACATACACAGTTTAGTGTTGAATTCATGGAAATATAAGTGAGGCATGTGCAAGTGGGCAACTTGGCTTTTTATTAATTTAATTTATGAGCCCAATGTGTCCAGATCTAAAATAGTAGCAGTAGTTTTATTATTGTGGTTAACATTTATTCCTGTGATGTGGCAAGAAAAAAACAAAAAAAAGACATTTATTCCTGCACAGTACTAATTAATATCATAATCAAAATTTTTGAACAGCTTGGGGGACACATGTCAGAAGCAAAGGCTAGAATCATGGCTGGTCACGGCATAAATAATTGTAGAGCACAGAAGAGATAGAAACAAATAGTGGAGATGTGTTTGGTTTCTTGTGGCCACAGTGTCAGTGCCTTCCTATTTCGATTTTGTCATCATGGAACATTTGAGTTGCCATAAATAATCATTTACTTTTGTTCAAATTTTAGGTGCATTTACTTAATTTACCCAAAAAAGGAAGCTACAACCAAAAACATATTTTGCTTTAACAAAAACAACAAATATGTTTGTACACACGGTTGAGCTAGGTGTGTGCACATACACGGTCTTGAAAGCAAAATAAATACTACCTTTTGCATATTTGACATTAGCATGAATTTCTCTCCATCCTCAAGATCAAGTGATCACCTCAACTATTGTAAAAACCACCTCTAATTGCATTTATTTTCTTGTTGAGTTAATCCAAATGCTAGTGGATATAGACAGTCATTTGCATCAATGCCAGTTGCAGTGAGCAAGATCCCTTTGGCTTTACCTTTCAAAAAGGTGCCATCTAACCCAATAAATGGCCTGGAACCCGCCTTCCACCCAACCTTCATATTAAATGAAAAAAAAAATATTATTACAACATGAGCGATTAAATTGAAAAATCAACAAATATAAAGTGGCATAAAATTCTTAAACCTTACCTTACAAGCATTGAAGCATACATACATCCTCCTGAACTCTCTTCTCCCGTTTTCCAAAGCTTCTTTGCTCAACTCAACACTAACATCGGAACCTGGGTTTGAAGTTCTCAGCTCGTTACAATACGCTTCTAAATTTTGAAATTCGTCCTTATAGCTTCCTTCCATTTCATCCATTATCATTCTCTTTGCTCTCTTGCATTTATGGATGCTCACATGTACCTTAAACTCAATCTCAACATCCTTTTTCATTTTGTTAGCTTTATATTGTGGCATTTCTTGAATCTTCCTTTTAAAGTGGTTAGCTACCCACTTTGCACTAGCTCTTTTGTTCTTAAAAACCCCAAGGCATCTATGCTCATAACATAGGGTCTTCACTTTCAATCATGGCTTGGACTGCTCTTTTGAAGCATACACAACAAAAAGACAATCCTTTTGACATACAACTTTAATTCTTGATGAGTCACTCTTTATAAGTCTCAAATTAACTCCTTTTAATATTGCATAATGATTAATAGCCCTTTTCATTTCTTCAGCATTGGCAAATGTCATGCCAATGCTAAAGAATGGTGCTTTCTATGATTCCGATTGCACAAATTCTTCTTCTATCGACACATCCTCCTCCCCTTCAGATTCAATGTCTTCTTCTACGGACTCGTCCTCCTCCCCTTCAGATTCATAATCTTCTTCTTCGAACTCATCCTCCTCGCCTTCATATTCATAATCAAATGAAGCATTTGTTACAATACAAACCAATTCATATTAACACATGGGTTCAAGTTACAGATTAGTCAATATGAGCAAATGGGAAAAACACCATGTTGTTAGTTGGTAAATTTGTTGCAACTCTAAAAATCAATCAAAGGGCACTATTTGATATAGAAATTCGCAGCCTTTTCATGTACAGACTACTCCATCATGGAAACAAGTAATTCAAAGTATGGTTTAGATAGACTTGAAAACTTTCCCTAAACGAAATCAGTAGTTCTCTAAAAATGACTCCATCATGGAACTAATGCTCACTAAAAATGACTCTGTTTGCGAAAGAATGAAGCTACAACAAAAACATTGCAGTTACGTGACTTACTGGTTTCCCCGTATGGGTTCTCTGCGTCGACTCTGACTCGTCTGAGTCCACCTCTGAATTGTTCCCTCCTATCACCACATCATCTCCATCAAGCTCCACGTCATCCAACTCCTCTTCCACGTCGACGGCCTTTTCCCTCTCCATGTCATCTAGACCCACTGCCAGATCATTCTCACCGAGGTCCACATCGATTCCAACATTCTCATCTTCTCCCATTGTCTTCTAGCTCACCTCCATCGATTACCTCAGTCAACCGATGACAGATGGGGGTGAGGATTGAACCCTAATTTCTTTTCTCTCCTTTGCTCTAGACCGGTGGCGCTCCGTTTTTTGGTTGTGAAGTGGCAGAGTAAAACGTTAGAGGTAGTGGAGGGAAATAAACTGAATTGAGTCCTA